AACCCCAACCCGTCAATCACATGGTTTGTTTCCCTGGCAACCAGCCTCCATCCTTAGGTGGGGTCCAAAAGTCATCTCATTAACACAACAAAAGACACCTTTGTTGCTCTCATCACTTGGAAAATTCCAAGGGTTTTAGGACCTCTGTGCTAGAAATGGGGACAAAGACAAAATATTTCTTATTATAAATCAGTGTCACAGGGGGCAATGGATATATGAGCCCAAGCTCCCATTCTAACAGGGTCAGTGATGAGAGAAGCAGACGGGTTGTGGGAGGGTTGAGGAGGCAGGAGACCCAGGGCAGGCTTCCTGGAGGAGGGGATAATGAAGGATAATGTTGTAGCTGTCCCACAGAAACAAGGCGGACTCCCCCATCCCAAAGTCTGTTCAGATGTTGAGATTGATGGTGCCACACACACACCAAAGGATCCTTCCTGCCTCTGTGGGGTGACCACACTTGGCACTGTGAGCAGGAGTCTTGACATGACCACCACCTCCAGGGTCTTTCTCATCTTTCTTTGTCCTGCTCATGAACCCTGCTGCCAGCTGGCAGGCATGCATTTTGAGCTGTGCTGCTTGGCACTGCATTTCTTGGGAACTAGGGAGCATTCTTGTAGAGTTAACTGACCTCAGTCAGAAGTTTCGATAGCTGTCGTTCAGGAACGTGGGTCTGGGATTGTGGCCCTCCTTCAAGTGGCCCTGAGTCATGCATCTCCGTGCCTGGACCTATCTGTGTGCCTGCCCTCTCCCTCAACGGTCAACGGAGGGGGGAGTGGTTGGTCTGGGGGATCAGACGGAAAGTTCCAACCCTCTAATCACATGGCTGGTTCCCCTAGCAACCAGCCCCTATCCCCTCCCAAGAGTCACCTCATTAGCATAAACTCGGTAGGGTTACAAGGGGCTTGTTATGAATAACAAAAGATGCTCCTTTCACCCCTACCACTCAGGAAATTCCAAGAGTTTCAAAAGCTCTGTGCCAGGACCCTGGGATGAATACCAATATATACTAGGGAGCCGTGGGAGGGCTGTGAGCAAGAGAGGAGCAAGGTCAGCTTTGGATATAGAAAGACTCCTCTGGGGCTGTCTGGGGGGAGCCTGGAGGACCAGAATCCAGGTAGGAGGCTAGGGTCAGGGTCCAGGGAGTAGGGAATGAGGCCTGAGCTGGGGCCCAGCTGGGGCACAATCTGGGATAGGAGGAAGAAGCTGAGAATAGGTTAGGAGGATAGTGTCTGGGTTCAGCCCAGTGAATGGACAGATGGTGGGGCCCCCCTGAGATGGAGAACCGGGGTGGGGGGAAGATGCCGAGCTCACGAGGGACACTGACTGAGATGGGCCCAGGGGCATTAGGAGGCCAGTGGCTGCAGAGGGCAGGAGCCCAGGAGACAGATTTGAGAGACAGGGAGCCAGGGAGCTGTCAGAGATTGAGGCGGACTTGGGGGCCCAGGGAGATGTCTCGGAAGAAAGGAAAGAAACTGGGTTCTAGAGAGAAATCAGTCTCCCAAGGGTCTGGACTAGGGGACTGGGTGGATGGTGGGGACACCACAAAGATAGAAGGTGTGGGGTCTGAGAACAGGTCGGTGGGGATGGACGTGAGCTCAGTTCCGGTCATCCAGGAGGCTGTTGGATGCACAGGCCTGAAGCTGGGGAGAGACCTAGGAGCCGTCTTGCCCCAGGTGACAGGTGAAACTGTCAGGTGTATGCAGTCAGTGCAGAGGACATGGCTTAGGAGGGCGCCCTGGGAACACGATTGTTTGTAAAGACACCCATCGGTGGAGGAAAAAAAGGCCTATTCATGAAGGAGGCTGGGAAGGAGAGCCAGAAATGTAGGAGGGAAACTAGAAATACAGGGTGCCCCGGAAGCCGGGAGAGGAGCGGCCGGTCCTGTCAACTGTCAGATGCTGCTGGAGGGCTGAGTAAGACGAGAACGGAGCGGTGACCATTGGGTTGCTCAACATGGAAAACTCCGGAGACCCAAAAGGACTGTGGCTGTGGGGTGCAAGGAGTGAGTGGATCTCCGTGGAGAAGTTTTCTGGGAAAGAGGGTAGAGAAACAGGGCAGGAATTGGTTCTGCTTAAACTCTGTGGTCCCAGCGTCACCCAGCAGAGTCAGGCACACAGGGCATCTCAAAATGTTTGATGAATGAATGAATGAATGAATGGGACAGAGAAATAGAATGAGAGAGAAGTGTCAAGATAGAGACAGAAGGCAAGGACACCACCAAGTTGTAGCTGATATTTCTTCATGTCTGAGAAGAGAAGATTCTGTCACCTAAGTCAACTTTGAAAATTCCTTCTTTATAAAGAAATAAACTGATAAGAGCAATGTTGATCATGTCGATACTTAACATACCTGATGTCTCCACTCATCTTTGTTTCCTTGTTTGATGATCCCAAGAGGAAGCGATGTGTAGACCTTCAGCTTCCTTCTAGGACCATTTTTCAGATGAGTAAACTGAGGTCAGGAAAAGAGAGTTGCCTGATTGGCCCTCAGGGAGTCAGGGGATGAGTTGAGGTTTCAACCCAGGTCCGTATGATTCCAAAAGCCATATTCTTTCTTTGAAACCTGTAGGAACATCCCTACGTTCATCTATTCACGCATGTACTCATCCAGTTGGTCATTCATTTGTTCATTCCTGTATTTGGATAATAATGACTCTGGAGCCATCCTGCCTGGGTTCAGACTCTAGTTCTGCCACTTACCAGTGGTGTGGCTTTGGGCAAGTGTCTTCATCCAGTCCTGCCTCAGTCTCCATATGTCTGACAGCCTCCATGCGCTGGGCTCTCACCCCATGTGTCAGGGCAGCTGAATTCTCTCTAGGGAATGGGCTTCCTATTGAGTTTGTGATGATGTCCAACAGTAAAACGGGAGGCAAGGGGACTGGAGAGCTCTGAGGGCTGCCTGGGGGTGGTGGCCATGGCGCCCAGAGCTTTTTCTGGAAGCGGGAAATGTGTGGCCACAAGCCTGTCTTTGTCCTCCTTGAGCCTCCAGCTACAAAAAGGAGAGACTGGCTTTTTCTAGAAGCTACAAGCTACAAACCTGTGTGTCAAAAAAGAACCAGTAAGTAGTCGTTCCCCCTTCCCTGCCCCAGGGAACCACTAATCTGCTTTCTGTCTCTATGGATTTGCCTGTTCTGGACATTTCATGTGAGCGAAATCATACAAAATGTGGCCTTTTGTGTCTGGCTTCTTTCACTGAGCATACTGTTTTCAAGGTTCATCCAAGTTGTAGCATGCATCAGTATTTCCCTCCTTTTCATGGCTGAGTAATATTCCATAGTATGGATGGACCACATTTTATTTATCCATTCATCTGTTGATGGACAGCAGCTTAATGGGTACAGAGTCTTTGGGGGGGTGATGGAAATGTTCTGGAATTAGATTGTGGTGATGGTTGCACAACACTGTGAGTGTAGTGAAATTCACTGGATTGTAGACTTTAAAATGGTTCAATGCTGGATTTTATGTTTTCGGAATTTTACTTAAAAAAAAAATAAAGGCAGAAAGAGAGAGGGAGAGGGAGAGCCCGAGAGAGATCTGTGTTGGGCTTATAGTTTGTTTGTTTGTTTTTTGCCCATATTTTAAAATCAAGAAACTTCCCACCATAAACCTGAATTTCTAGCTTCTCTTGAAAAGTCACAGGGATTGGCAAAGCTGGGCAGCATTCCAGCATGGCAGCCACCGACTGAAGCTGAAGGGTGAATTTCATTACATGTAAATTACACCTCAATAAGCCGGATCCCCCTAAAATCTGCGAAAACGGAGGGGTTGAGTTAGGCGGTGTCTCAGAACAAATAAACGCTGAAATTTCATGATTCTGAATTCAGAAAGGGAAAGAGACTCAAGACCCCAAGAGAAGGTGAGGGACTAAAAGACAGGAGTGGTGTGGGGAGGCCTCTCCTGCGTTTCTTTGTTTCTTTGCAATCTCTGTCTCCGACCACCTTCTCTTGGCTGTTTCTACATCTCCTTCCCTCTGAGTCTCATTCCCTTTTTATCTTTATTCTCTCTCCCTTTCTCCTCTCTCACAAATGAAGCAAAAACTCAGATAAACCAGCACAGACTTCTCTTATCCCCCAATTCTCTCTCTCTGTCCCTCTCTGTCCCCTGTCTCTTTCTCAGTGGAAGCCGTTACGCAGAGAAAAACTGTCATAGAATTAGGTAAATTGACCGCATGTATGAAGCAGATCTGTGCTTCTGGAAGCGGGGAGCAGAGCTGACTGTGCATTTAAAAAATTCAGTTAGAATCAGACTTCTGTGGAAGCCAGTTTGGAAACACTCTTCTGTCTCATCTATGTCGAAATCTCTTCCTTCTCCTCTTCTCTTCCTCGGTCCCTCTGCTCTTGGTTTCCCTGCCTCTCATTCCCAGTGTCCTCCTCTCTCAGCCTCTCCATCCGCCTGCCCCTTCCCTGCACCACGTGGGGAGGGGCCCCAGGTGTCCTCACACCGTGTCTTCCCTGAGCCTTTGTCACTGGAGCCAGGATTAGGACCCAGTTCCCAGATCATCTGAGTCATCGGTGTCAGGCTGCTGGTTAGTTTGGAGAGGGGGGAGAAGTAGCAGGGCTGGGACTTCCTTCCTTCTCTCCCGGGTCCCTTCCCCTCTCTCCTTCCATTTAGCTGTAAAGTTCAGTTAAGTGTCGTCAGCTGAGAAGAGTTTCTATAGAATTAGAGGGTGCCCCACCCCGTGTCTTCCTGTCCCCTTCCCTCAACCCGGAAACTGAATGGGCTGGGACAAAGAGAGTTAAAAGCTGTGTCAGCTGCCAGCATGAGACAGACAGACAGGAGGAGGGGGACAGGTAGGGCAGCATGAGAGGTGGCTGAGAAGCCACGTGGACGGTGGGGGAGCTGACTGGCAGGGTGGCTGGCCGGTGAAAAGGACAGGCAGGTAGGTGGACAGAGGCAGACTGTCATAGGCTGAAGCTGTGACAGCCACCTGGAGGACGGGACAGCAGAGAGACAAGGTGAGAAGGTGACAGGCAGAGAAAGGGATGGGCAGGCCATCCCCTCATGGAGCTGCTGGTGGGAGGGATGGGGAAAGGGGAGGCGGTTGGCAGGGGAAGGGCCCTCTCTGAGATGCCCCTTTTTCTCCCCAGAACTCGGAGGTGGCCCACCATGGGGCCCAGGATCTTTTTGCTCCTGTGTGTTATTGGTGAGTTCCCCAGGGGGAAAAAGGGTCCCTCTCTCCGCATCTCCCCATCCAGCTCTGGTCCCCAGCCTGGCACAGAGGAGGGGAGGGGGGCTGACTCTGTGCCCCACATCACCTCCAGCTCGCAGGGTCCCGTGCACCTCTGTCTCCCTGTATCTTTTGATCCATCTCCCCTCTGTCTCTCCCTATCACTATGTCCCTGTCCCTTCTCTCTCTCTGAATCTGTCTCTCTATTTCTTCCTATCTTTAAGCATCTCTCTCTCTCTGTTGCTCTCTGTGTCTCTTTGGGCGTTTCACTGTGTCTTTTTTTTTTTTTTTAAATTTTTTGTTTATTGCAGTAACATTGGTTTATAACATTGTAAAAATTTCAGGTGTACATCATTGTACTTCTATTTCTGCATAGATTACATCATGTTCACCACCAAAATACTAATTACAACCCATCACCACACATAGGTACCGAATTATCCCTTTCACCCTCCTCCCTCCCCCCTTCCCCTCTGGTAACCACCAATCCAATCTCTGTCCCTATGTGTTTCCAGCCATTTGTGACAACGTGGATGGACATTGAGGGTATAATGCAAAGTGAAATAAGTCAGAGGGAGAAGGTCAAATACCGTATGCTTTCCTTCATTAAGTAGTAGATAATAACAACAATAAACAATCACTGTGTCTTTTTCTATGTATCACTGAGTCTGTGTATCCCTGTCTCTGACTGTCTCTCAGGATCTCTGTCTCCCTCTTGCCTCTTTCTCTGTGTTTCTTCCTGTCTCTAATCCACAATCTCTAGGTCTCTAACCCCACCTCTCTGGCCTACACTCCTGTGCTCAGGACTCAGCCACGAGACTGACGTGAAGATTATAAGCGGCAGGGAGTGTGTCCCTCACTCACAGCCTTGGCAGGTCGGGCTGTTTGTGGGCACCAACCTGCGCTGTGGAGGGGTCCTCATTGACCGCAGGTGGGTCCTCACAGCTGCTCACTGCAGCAACAGGTAAGCCCCTGTCTGGGTCCCTTCCTAGGGGCTGAAGGGAGGGTGATGGGGAGAGGAGCGCTGGGAGTTAAGGCTTATGGGAGGGGGAACCGAAGAGTAAGGAGATGGTCCTGAAGCAAGAGTGTCTGAGGTTAGACAAGGAGCAGGACTTCCTCAATGATGGGCCTGTGGTGGGGCTGGGTGAGTGCAGTTAGGTGGAGGGCAGGGGAGAGTCCTGGAACCTGCCCACCCACCTCCTCCCATTCCCTCTTTTCCCACTTCCCTCCTACATGGCATCTGTCACCATCCCCAGCCATTTCATGACCCAGTCTGGGCCCTGGACCACATTTGGCACCTCTCTGGGCCTCAGTGGTTCCATTTGCAAAATGAGAGGATTGGGTTCTCTAGCTCCAAAGCTCTGGAGTTTTTGTGAAAGTTTCAGACACGAAGAGATGGAGAGATTCAGGGACAGGGAGAAACACAAGGAGGACAGAGAGAGTCCACTCATTATTCACTAGTTCATTTATCAGACAGTGTTGACAGCCCAGGCAGTCTCCTAGGTGGTGGGAACAGAGCGTGAACAGGACTGACAGGTGTCCCTGCCCCCCTGGGCCTCACGGGCTAAGAGAATCAGAAAGTGACACAGATGCAATGGCATGGGGAGGAGAAATGGGGCAAACCCTCGAAATGGAAAGATGGTGATAGAGACAGAGACCGAGAGACTGGAAGAGACAGACATACAGAGAGAGAAAGAGCAAGTCAATGAGGGAGGAGGGGACAGACACCGAAATGCAGAGCAGCAAAGAGAGACAGCAGGGCCCGGGGGGCTGGGGCTGCCCACTGGCCCCCCGCTGAGCCACCGTGACGCCTCCCCAGCAGGTACTGGGTGCGCCTGGGGGAACACAGGCTCAGCCGACTGGACTGGACGGAACAGATTCGGCGCAGCGGCTTCTCTGTGACCCACCCCGGCTACCAGGGAGCCCGGCAGAGCCATGACAATGACCTCCGGCTTCTGCGACTGGGCAGCCCCGTTTTCTTGACCCAGAGTGTCCAGCCCCTGCGCCTGCCCACCACCTGTGCAGCACCCGGCACTGAGTGCCTTGTCTCAGGCTGGGGCCTCACCAATCAATCATGGAGTAAGGGGGCCCTGGATGGGCAAAAGTCGAGTGCAGGGTGATAGGTTAGGAGTCATGCCATCTCAGAGGAAGCATGGGTCAAGCATCAGGGGACTGAGATAGTGGTGGATCGGGGTCTTGGAAGTCAAAGTGGTTAAGGGGTTGGATGTGGAGTCAGAAGTCATGAGTCAGGGAGGTGGTTAGAGGTCAGAGTGATGTCAGGGGTCATCAGACTGGAGCAAAAGGCATATATAAATAGGATCTTGGGGTCGTGGGTCACGGTCTCTGGTGTTAGAGGTCATTGTAGAGTTAAAGTCATGGGATACAGATGTTGCACAAACTAGCTACAATCTGGGGACGGAAATTGGGATTTCATCAGGAATCAGTGGTCTGGGATTGGAAGCCATAGAGTTTGGAGTGTGGAGCCAAAGGTTAGATGTCATGGAGTCTGGAGTCACATAAACTAGGATCACAGGTCACTTTGGAGTTGCAACCAGTGGTTTTTAGAGGATGCAGAGCTGAGGTTGGAGGATAAGGTGAAGACATGGGGCCAGGAGGAGACAGAGAGAAGACATGAGGTTAAGTTGGGATCAAAGGGTAATAAGACTGTGAGTTGAAAGTCACAGCATCTGGGATTGAAGGAGAAAATCAGGTCTGGATTCATCATATCTGAGGTTGGAGCGACAAAGGGGGTCTTGAGTTATGGCACTCGAAGTCATAGGTTAAAGGTCAGGGGGCCTGGGCTAACGGACTGGGGTCAAGGGTCACTATGAAATCAAGTATAAATCTGAAATTTAGAAGTTTGAGGATTGTAGTGGAGGTCACAGGGAGGGAGTAGGGTATAGACTTGGATTGGGCTTCCTTGAGAGGAGGGAAGTGGCCCCAAAGAGGGGAGCTTTGGGGAACCTTGCAGCATCCACCTTCCTCTCCCAGGCCCATTCCCGGATCAGCTCCAATGCCTCAATGTCTCCATCGTCTCCAATGCCAAGTGCAGGGCCGTGTTCCCCGGGAGAATCACGGAGAACATGGTGTGTGCGGGCGGCGTAGCAGGGGAGGATGCCTGCCAGGTGAGCGAAGACAGGCAATGCATGGTCACCCAGGACAGGAAGTAGGGGACAGACAAGTGGGAGGGGATGAGGGAGGGCCAGTCAGAGAAAGGGGATGGGGATGGAGATGGGGTCAGAAAGAAGGGAAGGCACAAAATAGGGGAAGGAGACAGAGAATAGGAGGGAAAGCCAGAAGATGGAGGACAGAGAGAGGGAGGATGGGAAAAGAGAACAGAGGGAGGGCAGGAGCAGAGAGGGAAAGATGGGAGGGGCACAAAGAGAGGGAGAGGAAGAGACAGAGAGAGAAGATGGGGGAGGGCAAAGAGTGAACCGGCATTTGGAGCTCAGGTAGGTAAGTGGCTCTCTTTCCGGTTCTGAGTCTTCCCCATACATCCTCCAGTTGATGCCGGCCCAGGTGAGACTGAGAGATTCCAGGATGGGGGCAGGAAAGGGGGCTGGAGGACTCTCTCACCCACTAATTCGGCTACCTTGCCTTCTTGAGTACTCCAGAGAGGAGGCTGCCCCACCCTACTGGCAAAGGTCCCAGCCATTGTCCTTGATAGAACTCTCATGGAGTCCCGCCCTCCTTCTCTGGGATTGGTCATTGGTGATGGTGCCCTCTTCCCTCATTGGCCAGGGCCCCAGCCATTGTCTTTGAGGGAACGCTCTACCTTCATGGAGCCCCGCCCTCCTTCCCTGGGATTGGCCCCTCGGGACAGTGTGTTCTCTATTGGTCAGTCATTGTTGTTGTCTTCGGGAACCTGGCTGTGATCTTGTCAAGGATGACCAGGCTTGGAGCCAGTCTTCAAGGCCCAAGAATGGGTTGGGGGATGGGAGGAGGGAACATGGGAACAGGATTTCTCCCTTATTCAGGCTGTGCTCCTTTTCCTTCTGCCTTCCAGGGTGACTCTGGGGGCCCTCTGGTGTGTGGAGGAGTCCTTCAGGGTCTGGTGTCCTGGGGGGCCACGGAACCTTGTGGGCAAAAAGGCATCCCGGGAGTCTACACCAATATTTGCAAATACGTGGACTGGATCCAGAAGATCATAAGAAACAACTGACCTTCTCCCTCCACCTCCATCCCTCAGCTTGGGGGCCACTCTGACCCTCAGAGCACCGACACCTCCTCCATAATCACCCCCAGCTCCCAATCTTCTTGGTCTGGGGATCTTCCTGGAACTTAACTCCAGCCAGCCCTTCTAAGACCCATGATTGGGGGAGGAGGGAGTGTGTGACTATCTGGAATAAATATAATATAACTGGAGGAGGGGATATGTCTGTCTATTTGATGTCCCCAGGCTGGTTGAGACTGGAGTTTCATTTCCCCTACCTAACAGGCGTAGAAATACAGATCAGAGAGAGTGAGAATTTTCCCTCAGGGGTCACACAGGAGTGGAGTAGAAAAAGTTACTTATAACAATAAAGATAAGGGCCATTTTTCTCCACGCGGCACGATAGGAACAGTGCCCAGAGCTTATAAGCTTTTCGAGGGCCCATGAAGGATATGAAGGGGAGAAAAATGATTGGCTCCAAAATACCAAATGAAAACAGTGAAATCAAAATTCACAACCATTTAATTAAATGTCTAGTAAACATAACATCCTTCCAACTGGTCAACCGCAACTTGCCTCCGCTGGAGTTGAGCGTATATTATATTTCAGGTGGGATGTGGCTTTGTCTTCATATGTCTGCAGTGACGGATGGTGGGGGTGCAGCCTTGGAAAGCAGGAGGACCCAGCCCAGGTCTTAAAATAGTCCTGCCCACTTCTTGGGTTCTGTCTTCACCGCCTCTCCAGGAGGTGAGAAGAGAACTTCTTCACCCCGATGAACAGAAGGGGAATTGGAGGTGGGAGAGAGTGAGGGGTGATCGCGACAGCCATGGGAACATTTGCCGAGCACCTGCTCTACTTGGCTCTCCTGAAGTCCTCATCCCAACCCCCAGAGGCAGGGCTGCCCCCCCCATCTCACAGATGAAGAAACTGAGCCTCACCAGGGTGGAGTCCCTCGTCCCACGTCACCTGGGTAGGAAGAGGCAGAGCCCGAGTTTGGGGCCAGGGCTGGCTGCTGTCAGAACCCAGGCCTACCCAGCAGTCTTGCTCCACATCTGGTTGGGGGAGAGAGGAGGGCAAGATCAAGACAGGAGATCTAACTGATAACAAGCTGGGAGAAGTAGGGATCATCACTGATTGAGGAGGCTCAGATTTGAGAAGTCATCGGACCTAGGTCACACAGCGAGTAAGTGCCATGGCTGGATTCAGAGGACCTCAGGTTCTGGGAGGTGGGGAGAGGGGAGCAGAGAGAAGGGTCGGCAGAGAAGCAAGCCCTGGAGGTTGGGGTGCCCACAGAGGGCTCATTTCCCTTCCCACAGGCCCCAACCTGCCTCCCCCACCCTCCTGTCCTGCCCCTTCGCCCGCCCGCCTGCCCGCCCAGCAGCAGCCCCACCTCTTCAACACCCCAGTTTCCCCCTCTTCTTGGAATGGAGAAGGGAAGGGCCCAGTGGAGGCCAGGGGCCCACCTGGGCTCTGGCAGTGGGGAGGGAGAGCAGAGACAGGAGGGGAGACAGAGCCTGGGAGATGAGGTGGATAGAGAGGGATTTAGAGACAGAGGGAGAGAGAGACGAGGGAGGCAGAGACAGAGACACACAAAGATATAAAGAATTAGAAGAGACATGCAGAGAAAGACTGGGAGAGAAAAACAGAGAGAGAGAGAAAGAAACAGACAAAAGGGTACAGAGACACAGAGAGAGACAGAAAAAGAAAAATGACACACAGAGAATTACAGAAAGGCAGCGAACGACAGATAAAGAGAGACAGATTCCAAGCAGCAGGGAAGAAAACAGACAGAAGGACGGACACAGAGGTGTGGAGAAACGGAGAAAAGCAGAGAGAAGAGGGGCTTGGAGAGGTGACAGAGGCAGGCCAGGCAGGCAGCCCCTCCTCCAGGCCCAGAGCAGGCCTGGGGACGGTCCCCACACACTCCCCGCCCCCGGGCGATAAGGCTGGGCTAGGAGGCGCAGTCATCCTGGGTCCGCCCCGGGGCCACCCCACTCCTGCCTGTCTGGTGCCTCGCTCTCCGACCCAGCCTACTGCACTGCCACCGGCGCCGGCCCCCAGAGCCCCAGCCCCAGAGCCCGTGAGTCCGGGAGGGAAGGGAAGGTCCCCTCTGGACGCCTGCACTCCGAAGGCACCAAGCCTCCTCTGCCGCGGCATTTCTCCCTCTGCTCTGTCCTTCTCAGCTTGGGTGGGGGCTCTCTGCCTCTCTCTGGGTCTCCAATGGGCTGCCTCCAACCTCAGTGACCTCTGACCCTAGCTTTGGTCACCAAATCCAGCCCTCCACTCCCACCCCTGCTGGCCAGGTCAGCTGAGGGCACTGGCCCTTCCCCTCACCAGCCCCGCCCAGCTATGTCCATCCATCCCTCAAAGAGGTAGGGGTTCAGCAGGGTTGGGGCAAGAAATCTCTCAGGCTGAGCCCTCACTGCACCCCAGGCAGCCCTCAAAGGGCCCATGTCACCCTGGGTGGTTGCTGAATGGTGCCAGTCCCCTTCATGTCCCTCCCCAAGCTGCTGGGGCCTGGCCAAGTCTCAGGTGGGCAAGAAGGAAAACATTCTCTAGAAGGCACCTCAGAGGTCCCGCGGCTGACTTAAAACAGGCCAGTCTACCACTTGCCCCAGGCCAAGTCCCTCTCAGCAGCTGCCACATCCTTGTGGGCTACTGGAAGCTTCTAGCTGAGATCCAAGGCCCCCTCCATACCAAAGATTTATTTTAAAGGTTTGGAGGTTGGGGTGCTGTGAGAACAAGGGGATTCCTCAAACTCTGTTGTTTCTCCCTGGGGGGAGCCAAAGCAGGCAAGGGAGAGAGGAGAGGGCATGAACCAGCCCCCAGTCTCCCCATAAAGTGATTTGGCTCCTTGTCCCTCCCTGTTCCCAGAAGAACCTGGGGCCTGCCCTTCCCCCCTCCAGGCCATGACGATTCTGCGATTAATCATGCTGGCTCTGGTGACAGGTACGGTGGAAGATGGGGAAGGGCAGGGGCCTCCCTCTGGAATCTCTAGGATCCCCAACCCTCTGTCTGGACATTGAAAGGGCTGATATTCAAAATACAGAATAACGCATAGGGCATCTGAATGAATATATGAGCCATAATGAGTCCTGGATGTCCCTTGCTGGACCAGATGTAATCCCTTTAGATGCTAGAACGGGGAGAGGCCAAGGAGGTCCCAGGGGAGGGGCCAGGGAAGCTAGGGTGGTGTGGGGGACATTCGAAGAGCTGAGAGCAGTGGCTACTGACCAACCAGTATGGAAGGATTTCAATCACTTAACGCCTGGCACGTCCATACAGTGCGTCCCAGCCGGACACCAGACCGGGACCCAGACCACCCACCCTCTCTCTCCTCCCCACCTCCACTTCTGGGAGTCCTCTCATGCCTGAGCCCCCTCTTTTGCCCTCACCCCCTCCAGGGCGTGTAGGGGGAGAGACCAGGATCATCAAAGGGTACGAGTGCTCTCCTCATTCCCAGCCCTGGCAGGTGGCTCTGTTCCAGAAGACACGGCTGCTCTGCGGGGCAACGCTCATCGCTCCCAAATGGCTCCTGACAGCAGCCCACTGCCGCAAGCCGTGGGTGCGGGGGCTGGGGTGGGGCTGGGAGGGGGCTGGAAATGGAGAGATGGATGGAGGGGGGCTTGGCGGTGGGGAGAATGTGTATGGGGTTGGAGATGGGCATGGATGGGAGGGGCATTAGCATTGATGATGGAGATTGCGTTGTAATTGAAGATGGAGGGATGGGAGATGTTGGAACTGGAATGGTGTTGGGTATGGGGTTGGGATATGGTTTGGAAAGGGGCTTTGGTGGGAGATGGGGAAGAGGTTGGAAGTGGAGATATGGTCCTTCCTTCTCTCAGGTGCACTCACCTCTCCCCCTGTGTCTCTTCCCACCACCTGCCTCTCCCTACCCTTCCATCTCTGACCACCATCTCTCCCACCTCAGCCGATACATAGCTCACCTGGGGGAGCACAACCTCCAGCAGCGGGATGGCTGTGAGCAGACCCGAATAGCCACTGAGTCCTTCCCCCACCCAGACTTCAACAACAGCCTCCCCAACAAAGACCACCGCAATGACATCATGCTGGTGAAGATGGCGTCACCAGCCATCATCACCCGGGCCGTGCGACCCCTCGCCCTGTCGTCACGCTGTGTCACTCCTGGCACCCGCTGCCTCATTTCTGGCTGGGGCACCACGTCCAGCCCTCAGTGTAGGGTCTCTAGAGGGGAACATGGTGGAAGGAGGGTGGTCACGATTGTGGAAGATCATAGGGAACCAGAGGACCTGCCAAAGATGAGAGTCGTAGTGACAAACAGGGGGCTACCTCGGGGTGGCAGTGGTGGGATAAGTCGAAAGGAAGAGTGGAAAAGTAAGCGCTGGGGGAGGTGGAGACAAAAGTTTGGGCCTTGCAGTCAGACAGACATGGTGTGCCATCCCAGATCCACAACCCGGTAGCTGTAGGACCTTATGCACATGGCTTCCTCTCTCTAAACCTGGGTTTTCTTCTCCATAAAATGAGAACAATCACATCCCCCTACCAGAGCTGAATTAGAGATAAAGGATATAGAGCAACTAGCATAAAGAATTTACTCAATAGCATTACTGTTGCTGTTGTTACAAGTAGAAAGACGAGTTGGCTACAAGCAAGAAGGACAGCAAGGTCTGTGGGTTCAAAGCAAGCTTTGCAGTGTAGGGAAGAGAACCAGGGCTCTCATTTTCCACACCCCTTCATGCCATTTCCACAGTGCACCTGCCTCATACCTTGCGATGCGCCAACATCACCATCATCGAGCACAAGGAATGTGAGAATGCCTACCCCGGCAACATCACAGACACCATGGTGTGTGCCAGTGTTCGAGAAGAGGGCAAGGACTCCTGCCAGGTCAGAGGGCAGGGCCTGGGTCTCCAACCACATCCCCATTCCCATCTCCAATCCTCATTGTGTCTTTATCTACACCCACAGTCTCATCCTCAGCCCTAACCCCCATCTCCTCCTGCAACCCCAAATCCATCTCCATCCCCAGTTCCCATTTCTGACCTCGACATGATCCTTGGTTCCATCCCCCTTCTCACCCCTATTTCCAACCTCAACCATTCCCAAATCCACTTTCATCCTTAACCCCATCTTTGTTCCCACCCATAACTCCAACCTCATCCCTAATCCCATTGCCAACCCCATCCTCAATCTCCATCCCAATCCCAACACCATTCTCACTCCCTCCCTAACACCATGCCCAACCCCTTCCTCTCCCATGGTGGCCTCCCCTCCTCTCTCACTGGTTCTCTCTCTCCCCATCCCCAGGGTGACTCTGGGGGCCCTCTGGTCTGTAATGGATCTCTTCAAGGCATTATCTCCTGGGGCCAGGATCCATGTGCTGTTGCCAGAAAGCCTGGTGTATACACAAAGGTCTGCAAATATCTGAACTGGGTCCAGGAGACTATGGAGAAAAATTAGCAGGACCAGCTCACCACAGCCCAACACCGCCAACCCCTACTCGGTGATGTGGTTCCTGTTCATTCTGTTTATAATAAAGCAGCCTAAGCCAGGACCCCTTTATATACTTTGTCTGGATCTCCTTGACTACAAGAGATGCTGTAGCTTAATAATCAACTTGGGGTTTGGAATTAGCAAAGCCTAGCTTCACATCCTGCCTCGTACTGACTCGTGCCTCTGGGAATGATAACAGCTCTTTGGTTCACTGTTGTATCTCTAGCCCCACGATGGTTCCTGGCACTCACCAAGGTTTCAATAAATATTTACTGAATGAACGAATCTTTTGGGGGCTTCCCATATGCCAGAACCTGGTCCAAAGGCTTTTAAGTGTAGCAACCAACAATATTCACAAAACCTTATGAGGTCGGTGCTGTTATTATACCCATTTTACAGACTAGGAAACTGAGGCACAGAAAAACGAAGCCACTTGCTCATGTCACACAGCCAGTAAGCAGAAGAGCAAGGAATCTGAAGCAAGGTGATTTCTTAAGTACCGAGCAATACTGCCTTGATTAAGACTCAGTTTCCTTCTCTGTAAAATCGTGCATGCAAAAGTATGATAGCACAGTAAGTCGGGCAGTCTGCAGATAGTTAAGATCTAACAGAAAGAGAGCTGTCATTGTTTTTTTCCAGGCTCCGTGATAGGTGGTTCATCGGGACCTATGCTAGGCAATATGGTAGCCACTAACCATATGTCGTTATTTAAATTAAAATTACATACAATCAGAAATGTAATTCTTCAGTTCCACTTGCCACATACCATATGTGCTACAGCCACACAGGACTGATGGCTGCCATGTTGGATAGCACATAGACAGCATTTCCACCATTGCAGACAGTTCAACTGGACAGTGCTGAGCTGGACAGCCACTGGAGAAGATGCCCCACAAATTGTCCAGAACTCGGGGTCTCTTTTGACGTTCAGCTCGCTTTGCAGGGGAGGTAGCTGGCCTGAGGAGTAAGAGAACCCAGAGCCGGAACTGGGGCCTCCGGTTTTTAGTCGGGCTTGCTGTGTGATCTCCTGTGAGTCACTGCCCTCTCTGAGCCTCCCATTCCTCACTTGAAATGAGGGAGTTGGCCCAGGTGATGCTGACGCCCCTTGCAGCCTCCTGTGATTCACGGGCCTGTGTCACCTGGAGACACGCAGATGGCAGGGAGGATGTGAAGTGACCACGCATAGGCATGATCGGAGCCTCCCCCAACACACACGGGGGGCTAGTCACCGGGACACACTGAGCTGGGTTTGCTCTCTGGGTTTGCTACCTCCCATTCTGTCTCCCTGTTTCTGTGTGTCTCAGTCCCTGTCGCTCCCACTCTTCCTTCAATCTGTCTTATCTGACTCCCTCTTCCTGTCGGCCTTCTGGCTTTTCTCACTATGTCACTCTAGGTATGCACTTCCCTGTTTATTTATTTTCCACTCTCTCGGTCACATCGCCTATTCCAACACTATTCCCTTGAGACCCCTAGGCCACCTGAGGATGAGGCATCCTCTCTCCCCGTCTGGGAAGACTTCTTGAAACAGGGGACCTGGGGAATCCCCATGGAATCCACCTCCAAAAAGGGTGTTTCCGACACTGGGAGAAGCCTGTATTCCGGGGGCCCCTCCCAGAGCAGGAATCTGGGGCCCAGGTTGGGTGCCAGCCCCACCCACGGCATAATTAGGGAGAGAGAAAGGGAGGGGGTGAGGCCCTCGGGGGAAGGTGGAGAAGTTTCCGGAACTCTCTCGGGGTTAAAAGGGAAGGCCTGGCCAGGGGTCCCTGGCAGAGGATTCCGGCGGCCCACGCGGCAGGGCAGAGGTACTTCTGGGTCTCCCGCTTTCTTCCCCTCGGCGACTCCCAGGTGAGGGGGGATGCACCTCACCCTGGTTGGGGCGGGTCTCGAGAGCAAGGGTGGAGCCCCTCAGGTCGCAGGCGGGAGCCCTGTTTGAGCCGCGGTTTCCCTATCTACGGGACACGCCTCTGAGCCTCGGACCCCCACCCCACCTCGGACCCCCACGCCCACCTGTGAAGGAGGGCGAAACCCCACGCGCTGGCAGGCTAGGAGCCAGGACAGCACCTCCAGGAGAGCGCGCCCCTTGGGCGTAGGGAGGGCAGGAGGACGTCACCACGGGCGTCATTAGAATAATTGCACCCATTTTGGCTGATCCGGCCCGAATCGCCCGCCCGTCCGCCCCTGCGATTGTTGGCCCCAGGTTAAACGTGTCCCCGCAGGCTGGGGTGGTCCAGGCTGGGCGGACGGGCGCGGCGGGGTGGGGGTCTCTGACAGGGCATGTGTTTTGAAGCTTCTCCGGTCCCCCAGCCTAGGCCATGAGATCCCCGCACCTCCACCTCTCCGCCACCTCGGGCGCCCGGGCCCTGGCGAAGCTGCTGCTGCCGCTGCTGACGGCGCAACTCTGGGGTGAGGCGGGGAGCAGGGCTGGGCAGGAGGCGCCGGGGACCCGGGGCCATGGGAGAGTGCGCTCTTATCACCAACGCTCGCGTACCTCTGCACCCGCTGGGACCCCAGCACCCACCCAACGATCCGGAGCAGCCCCCCAACCCCAAGTCTGCCCCGCCCCCTCCAGGCCCCGCCCCCTTCACTCCACCTGGAGTCTTACTCCCCCTTTCTCCCCTCCGCGTCCTTTCCCCGCGCGTTACTCCACCCATTCTGTCCTGGCCCCTTCTTACTCCGCCCTGTTTTGTCCCAAGTCTTGCCTTATCGCTTCTTGCACTCGCTCACTTTTCTAGACCCTTGCATCTTGACTCTCACTCTGCACCGCGTTCTAGCCCCGCCCCTTGATGCCTCGCTGCTTCCTAGCCCCGCCCCTTGCAGCCCCGCCCCTGCCACCCCCTGCGTTCTAGCCCCGCCCCTTGATGCCTCGCTGCTTCCTAGCCCCGCCCCTTGCAGCCCCGCCCCTGCCGCCCCCCTGCGTTCTAGCCCCGCCCCTTGATGCCTCGCTGCGTTCTAGCCCCGCCCCTTGCAGCCCCGCCCCCTGCTGCCCTCTGCCTTCTAGCCCTGCCCCTTGAAGCCCCGCCGCCCCGCTGAGTTCTAGCCCCGCCCCTTGGTGCCCCGCCCCTTCTAGCCACGCCCCTCGCAGCCCCGCCGCGTTCTAGCCCCGCCTCCTTGTCGCCCCGCCGCGTGCTATATCGTCTCTCTTCGCGCCGCCTTCTGTCCCTGCCCCTCCAGACCCACCCTGTCCGGTCTCCTCACTCCGCTCCGCCCCATACTCGCCTCCTTCCCCTTTCACGCCGGTTCTTCGCCGCACACTCCCATTCGATTCTTGCAGGACCCCCCCGTTTCCACCCCCTCGCCGCGGTTCCGGCTGCGCCCCCAAAGCCCCGCCCGGACCCCAAACCCAGGGCTTACCCTGCCTTGCCTGCTCTGATCGCCACCCCCTTTCTTTCTCCAGCCGCGGAGGCATTGCTGCTCCCCGTAAACGACACGGGCTCGGACCCCGTGGCCTCCGGCGCCCCTTGCGCGCGCGGCTCGCAGCCCTGGCAGGTCTCCCTCTTCAATGGCCTCTCGTTCCACTGCGCGGGCGTCCTGGTGGACAAGAGTTGGGTGCTCACGGCCGCGCACTGCGGGAACGACAAGTAGGGGGAGCTCCTTGGGGACGCACGGAGGGGTGGGGGAGGCAGGGTGCGGGAAGGGCTGGGGCACTTGAGGGTATGGAGCTCTCCTAGCTCGATATGGGGGTCAGTCCTGGAGGGCTTCCTGTAGGAGGAAAGGTAGTGTTGTGCTGTGGCCGCCAGGGGGCGATGTGGTCCTTCTCAGCGTGTCTGGGCCAATCCATCACTCCTGTTCAGCTGATTCTCCTTGGGTTACATTTGGGTGTAGGTAGTTGTGTGCAAGATACAGAACTCACGGTCTGGTGTGGTTAGGAATTTAGAACCAAAAACATTGTTTCCCTCATGAGTTCCCACTGGGGGAGGAATGAAGGGGTAGGCTTAGCAGGTAGACCTCCAGCCCTTAATTCTGGCAGAACTCCTGGACCCAAACACCTGATTGCTTGTTCCCGTGTCTCAAGAATTCAGGTGCCCAGCTCTCTTCTACCCCACCCATTCCTCCCCCAGACCCGGGGGTCAGGGTCCCCAGCCCCTCCTCTCTCGGACCCGGGAGTCCAGGCCCCATCCTGCTACCTGTACCCTCCATCCCTGAGACTCAGAATCCAGACCTAGTCCCTACAAAGGCTTTGCCTTCATGTGGCTCTTCCTTCCTCAGGCCGCTGTGGGCTCGAGTGGGAGATGACCACTTGCTGCTTCTCCAGGGCGAGCAGCTCCGCCGGACCACTCGCTCCATCATCCACCCCAAGTACCACCAGGGCTCGGGCCCCCTCCTGCCAAGGCGGACGGACGAGCACGACCTCATGCTGCTGAAGCTGGCCAGGCCCGCTGTGCTGGGGTCTCGCATCCAGACCCTACGCCTGCCCTACCGCTGTGCCCAGCCTGGAGACCAGTGCCAGGCCGCTGGCTGGGGCACCACGGCCGCCCGAAGAGGCAAGAACTGGGGGCCCTGAGGCCTGCATCTCGGGGAAGGAGGCTGGGGACCAGGACTCCTGGGGTCTGAGGGAGGAGGTTGGGGGCCTGGACTCCTGGGTCTGAGGGAGGAGATTTGGGGCCTGGACTCCTGGGTCTGAGGGAGGAGGGGCTGGGGGCCTGGAGCCTGGGACAGGAACAGTCTGGGTATCCAGACTCCTGGGTCCTGGAGGATTGGGGGCTGGACCCCAGAATTACCTGGTGTTCTCTCCCATCAGTGAAGTACAACAAGGGCCTGAGCTGCTCCAGGGTCACTATCCTGAGCCCTAAAGAGTGTGAGGTCTTCTACCCTGGTGTGGTCACCAGCAACATGATATGTGCAGGACTGGAGCGGGGCCAGGACCCCTGCCAGGTAGGGACTGGCCAGGGAGGGTCTCTGACTCGTGGAGGCGAGTGTAGGGAGGTTATGGGAAAACAGAAGTCCCCAACCCCGTAGCCACCCACAACCCAACGTCATCCCCGTGTCCAACATGACCCCATCCCTATCCCAACTCCAACCGCATGTGCAATGCTACCTCCTTGGGTCCATCTTCTCATGCCCAACCCTCTCCCCAACTCTATTCCCAAGCCCATCCCCAGCCCTAATCCCCTTCCTACCCCATTCCTAAACCCCTATTCCATCCCTATCTTTAGATCCATCTCCATTTCCTTACCTATGATCCCATCTCCACCACATCTTCACTCTTATCCCCTGAGCCAACGCCCACAACCCCAAGTCCCACTCCATCCCCACCCACCCCAATCCCCCATACCTGATTCCAACCCAACCCCAACTTCATCTTTATCCCAACCGTGCCCAACCCCTACCTTCCTCATCACTACCCCAGATCTCCAAGTGGCAGCCCTCGTATTGATGTATTTACTTGATGTCTCCTTCTTCCCACCCCAGAGTGACTCGGGTGGTCCTCTGGTCTGCGACGAGACCCTGCAGGGCATCCTTTCCTGGGGCGTTTACCCCTGCGGCTCTGCTCAGCAGCCAGCTGTCTACACTCAGATCTGCAAATATGCCTCGTGGATAGAGAAAACCATACGCTCCAACTGACCCAGACGCCTTGCAACTCCTTCGCCATCTGCTCCTTTCCTTCCTCCTTCCTACGCAGTTGGCTGGACTCTGCCCCTGCCCCGCTCAGATCTCTGCCGTCCATCCGCACCTGCTGACATCTCTCTGCTTCCCCATCCCCCACCCTGCCCGCTGCTGTTCGCTGCCAGCATTGAAGCTGCAGGGCAGAAAGTGTTGGCAATGTTTTGTTCCAGAGAAACGAGGAAGCCTGTAGTCACTTAGTCTCTGAGAGAATTTGTCAGTCATCCAACCTGGCTTCCTCTACCACTCCCTGCTGTGTGACTTTGGGCAAACCAAATACCCTCTCTGGGCCTGGGTTTCCTCACCTGGAAAATGGAGATAACGAAGCGCCTACCTCACAGACGTGTTGTGAGGAGACTATGATATCATGTGTGTGTGCAGATCACGGCGGTAATTATCGTAAAGTGTTAACACAGTGGGTGATGAGCTCTCACTAAACGTTACCTGTTGCCACGATCTGTGAACAAGTCCTGGTGAGAACGTGTGTGACTCTGTCCTGGGAAGAAAAGCATAGGGGTAGCCCCCAATCCCAACCCCCCAACACCATCTGTGTCTCCATCCCTCAGGGCTGATGGGAGAATCACAGTCTCCACCCTCCTCCAAAGTTCCATGAAGTACCCCTTAAGCACTTCCTTCTTACCTCCCACCATTTCCCATGTCTGAGTCCGCCCAACACCAGTTCTTCCTGTCCCAGAGTTGGGCTGGCTCTGAATCATCTGGTACCTTCTCTGCCTTCCTGGGGCCCCTGGAACCCAAGGGACCTCACCCTGCCTCCATCCCAGCCTCTAAGACCAGAGGAATGCTCCCCACCTCCGTTGCTAAGTTCATGCAGAAAAGCCCTCTGAAATTTAGGGGAAATTTTTTGGTTTGTTTGTCAGATGCATCTCCATCGCCTCAACTACCGCAAGCTGCAGTCCCAGCTCCGCCACATCCCCATTCTCATTCCCCAATCCAACACCCGTAACCCTAGGTCCAATTCCATCTCCATCCCCACCCCAAACTGGCTTTGAGATTTTGCCCTGAAAATTTAGGAGGAGGGATTCTTTTCCTCTTCTTGAAATTGTCTCTGTGTAAATATTCCTGTGCTGGGGGGTGTTATACACAGAATCCAGGCAAAGCTCACAGTCGTTTGGGTGTCTCTGCTTACCCCTGACTTTGAACATATGCACAACAGAAGTTTCCCACCCAGACAAATTCTTTTTTTTTTTTTTTTTTTTTTTTTTGGCTGGGAAAGATGCGCCGTGAGCTAACATCTGTTACCGACCTTCCTCTATTTTTTTTTCTCCCCAAAGCCCCAGTACATTGTTGTATATTCTAGTTGTAAGTCCTGCTAGTTCTTCTACGTGAGCCGTCACCACAACAAGGCTACTGACAGATGAGTAGTGTGGTTCCACACCCGGGAACTGAACCCCGGGCTGCCAAAGCAGAGTGTGCCAAACTCTAACCACTAGGCCGTCAGGGCTGGGTCCAGCACTGGCTGTTTTTGTTTTCTCTTTCAAATACCAGTTTATTAAGCACCTATTGTGTGGCGGGCCCAGAACACAGCAGTGACCGCAAGGTCCCTGCCCTCACAGAGCCCGTAGAATCCCAGGGCACAGGTCCGAGCACAGAGCCTTCCATTGCCTCTTCCCCCGCCCCCATTAGCACACCCAGGAAATGTCAATCAGGCATATCAGCTGAGTTGGTCACGCAGAGATCAGAAGCAAAGTAGGTGGGAACTCGAAAACCCTATTCCTTTTTAAAGGCAATTCACACCATTCCTTTAGTCATGCTGCAAGTGTTTATTGAGCCATGTCCTACGCCAGATCCTGGAGCTGAATCAGACCGGGCCCTACCCTCAAGATGCTACTAGTCAGGTCAGAGAGACAGGCAAGCCTTACATTCTTGTCATTCAGGTCTCCACTCAAAGGTCATCACCTCAAGAAGGCCTTCAGGATTGCCCTGGCTAAAGGGGTCTCCCCCATCCAGGGTCACCAACCCATTGCTTTTTGTTTGTTTGTTTAATTTTTTTATTGATGTCATAATAGTTTATAATATTATGACATTCCAGTTGTACATTATTATTCGTCAGTCAGCATATAAATGCGCCCCTTCACCCCTTGTGCCCACCCCCCAACTCCCCTCCCCCTGGTAACCACCAAACTTCTCTCTGTCCATGTGTTGGTTTATATTCCACATATGAGAGAGGTCATACAGTGTTTGTCTGTCTCTGTCTGCCTTATTTCACTTAACATAATACCCTCCAGGTCCATCGATGTTGCAAATGGGATGATTTTGTCTTTTTTATGGCTGAGTAGTATTCTATTGTATATATATACCACATCTTCTTTATCCAATCATCTGTCAATGGACACTTGGGTTGCTTCCACTTCTTGGCTATAGTGAGTAATGCTGCAATGAACACAGGGGTGCATAAGCCTCTTTGGATTGTTGATTTTAAGTTCTTTGGATAAATACCCAGAAGTGGGATAGCTGGATCATAAGGTATTTCTATTTTTAATTTTTGGAGGAATCTCTATACTGTTTTCCGTAGAGGCTGCACCAGTTTGCATTCCCACCAGCAGTGAATGAGGAGCAGTGAATTGCTTTTTAATTTTTTACAGCACTTGTTATAGCTGAAATGATCTCCTTTATTCGGTTACTCCACACTGATCTGTCTTCTCCCTCCCCTGACCCAGTCTGTGAGGTCAGGAACTCTGATTTACTCGCTGTGGTTTCTAAGCACTTGCTGTGGTGCCTGGCACACAGAAGCTACTCCATACATTGTTAAATTAACAAATAACCCAAATTTATCACTGCTGTAACAGAAGGAGGCACAGCCCCAAGGAGAGGCCAAGGACTCTTCCTGAAGGAGTGAGGGAACGCTTCTCAGATGAGGGGACAATTGCCTGGGGTTTTAAAGGATGTGTAGGAGTTAACTATGTAGAGAAGGAAATGTATTTCTGTCACTTACTGTGTGACCTTGAGCATATTACTTGAATGCTCTCTACCTCAATTTTCCCCTCTGTGAAACAGAGATTGATTAGAGGCTCCTGAGAATTAAGTGAGATAGTATACACGAAACACTTACCTAACTTCCGGGCACAGAGTAGTCAATAAAGATAGCTATCAAGATGTTCTTTTTTTTGTTTTTTTTGGTGAGGAAGATTGGCCCTGAGCTAACACCTGTTGCCAATCCTCCTCTTTTTGCTTGAGGAAGAGTGGCCCTGAGCTAACATCTGTGCCCATCTTCCTCTACTTTGTATGTGGGTCACTGCCACAGCATGGCTTGATGAGTGGTGTAGGTCCACGCCCAGGACCTGAATCTGCAAACCTGGGCTGCCTAAAGTGGAGCGTATGGAACTTAACTACACCACCGGGCTGGCGCCCTATCAAAATGTTCTTAAAGCTGTTAGTAAGGCACTTAGCATGTAGTGCATATTCAGTCCCTGGTCTCAAAGAAGTCCCTGGTTTCAGAAGACCCTTCTAGACAGGGTGTAAGACAACTGTAGCCATGGGTGGTGTGTGTTATGCTGGAGGCAGTATAGAGCCCTGTAGGAGATGGATGGACATATCATATTTATTGAATGCTTATCATATGCCAGGGACTGTCGTTAAGTCCTTCCTATGTGTTAATTCACTTAATCCCCCTACAGCCCCGGTTACTATTGCTACTTAACAGATGGAGCCACTGAGAGATATCTGATGACTTGCCCAAGGTCACACCCAATAATTGCTCATGTTGAAATTTGAAGCCGGGTGGTCCAGTTCTAGAGTCCGTGCTCCAAACCACTACACCATAGTGAGGATGCATTCGAGGGGGGCCCAGATCCAGCTTGATAATCAGAATTGTGGCAATGGAAAGTGGAAGAGGCTGTGAGGCCTAGGGGAGGAAAAGATGGACTCAGCCTAGAGAAATCAGGGAAGACTTCCTGGAGGAGGGGGCGTTTAGGTTGGGTCTTGAAGGATGAGTACGTGCTCACCAGGAAAAGAAGGATCTAGAGAAAGACATTCGCTCATTCAATTAACATCTCCTGAGGCCTCCCATGAGCCCAGCCCTGAACTGCGTGATGCTGGGGACACAGAGATGAGTCAGACGTGGGCTTGGCCCTCCAAGGAATGCCCACCTGATGAGAAGGAACGATGGGGAGAGAGGCAGCAAGGATAGGGTGATGGGAAGGACAATGGAGGGGAAATAGGTGAGAAAAAAAGAGGACAATATTCTGAGGACTTAGCCAGGATCCGGTGGTATTCAAAGAAATGGATGGGTAGGGATGTGAAGAAGGGGGTAACTTATGACAAGAGTGGTTCATCCAGTGGGGACCGCATTTCTCAACCTTATAGGAGAGGCCTTTGCCCTTGTGGGAAGGGGCGCAAATCCCCAGGGCAGAGAGGGTTCTGTGGGGTGTGTACACCTGTGCAGCGGTCTTGTGGTCTCTGTCTCTCTGTCTCTCTCTCCTTCTCTTACCTCAGATCCTTCTGTGTCTCTATCATCCTTTTTTTTTTTTTCTTTCTCTCTCTTTCCCCACCTCACCCCCATCCTGTCTGCCTTCTTCCCTCTGAGTCCTGGTTCTTTCTCCCACCCCCAGCCTGCTTTCTGCGAGGTCCTGTTGCACATCCCTCCAGCCTGCCCCATACATGCCAGCTCTCCGCAGCCTCATTCAAGATGAATTTGCTTTCACTCTGGGACCCCACCTTAAGGATCTTCCCCGTCTCCTTCTTCCTCCTCCAGGCCACAGAATACCCTGTCTCCAGATTCTGCGTCCTGATGTCATGAGGAATGAGGGCTCCCCTTTCTGGAGACCCTCAGGAGGACTCCACTTCCCAGGCCCCTCCCCCATTTAGCCAAGTCCTGACCAGCAGGCTCATCCCGAGGGGGTCCCCCTCACCACCTCCCTTCCCAAGGCCCCTGTCAAGGTCCCGGGCTTCCCCCTCCCCCTGTGACATTTCCCAACTGAGATTAATCATGGGGCGGCCCCAGGGAGGAGGAAGGAGAAGGCATGGCTTACCTTAAAGAAGCTAGGCCGGCCGGCCGAGTGCAGGCTGGAGGACCCAGACACCCGGCGGTCATGAAGCTGGGGTTCGCCTGTGCTCTGCTTTCTCTCCTGGCAGGTGAGGCCCCAGCCTTCCAACCCGCTGCCCCTCCATGGCTCTGGGTGCCCATCCATCTTGCCCTTCACCCCCCAGGCTTCCCCTCCTGCCCTCTACGCATCTCAGCATCTCTCCCCAGCCCTTCCCTCTTGCTCTTCATTGATCCCTCTGCCCCCCACCCTAACCCCAGGGCACAGCTGGGCAGACATCCGAGCCATTGGGGCCGTGGAATGCCGCCCCAACTCGCAGCCCTGGCAGGCCGGCCTCTTCTACCTCACCCACCTCTTCTGTGGGGCGTCCCTCATCAGTGACCGCTGGCTGCTCACAGCTGCCCACTGCCGCAAGCCGTGAGTGACCGGGGTGCACCATTCTGGGGAGGGTGAGGGGCGAGGGGCCTCTGGTAGAGGAGGGAGGGAGCTGTAGGCGGGAAGGGCTGAGCCTCCATTTCTGTTCCCCCAAAATTCAACTCTTAGAATTACAAACATTCCACTCTCCTAATTCTGGAGTCTTTAAATACCAGGTTCTAAGAGTCTAAAGATTCAAAACTTATACTCTTAGAATCCTAGACTCTGACCCAGAGAAATCCAGAATCGTAGACTCCTAAAATCTTGGATCCACGAGATTATACGTTAGCTTTGGAGAATTCTACAATAGTGGATTCAGAGATTATTAGAATCTTAGAAGTCCAGAGCAGCACTACCCAATGGAAATATAATGACAGCCACAAAGCTAAGTTTAAGTTTTCTAGTAGACGCATGGAAAAGCCAAAAAGAAACAAGTAAAATGAATTTTAATAACAGATTTAATTTGACATACTCAACATATTATTTCAACATGTAATCAATTTTTAAATGTTTATGGATGACATAGTTTCCTCTTTTTTTGTTCTAAGGCTTTGAAATCAGACATGTATTTCACATTTATGCCACATCTCATTTTGGACTAGCCACATTTCAAGTGCTCAATAGTTGTATTGGATAGCACAATCCTAGAATCTTAGATTCCAGCTAGAATTCTAGAGTATTCTAGAGTATTCTAGCTAGGTTTATTGACTATAGAAACTCATAGTCCTAGAATTTTTTATTTACGGTATCCTAGAATACTGTGATTTATAGAATTCTAGAATCTTGAAACAAGAGAATTCTAGAAGCTTATACTCATTAATGTCTAGAATCTGTTGGATTTACTATCCCAGAATGCTCTCATTCCAGATTCTTAAAATCCCCAAAGTTTTAATTCACAGAATTCTAGAGTCTCAAACTATTTGAATACTAGATTCTTAAGTTTCTAAAATCATAGATTTATAGAATTCTAGAAAGATGAAATTCTAGTCTTATTGTTCCAGAATATTAGAATTCTAGGCTCTTTAAATCTTAGATTTAATTCAGATCATTTTAAAATCCCAGAATTTTTGATCCAGAGAAATCTAGAACATTAGAATCTTGGAAGCATAACATTCTAGCACTTGGGCCTCATAGAATTCTAGAATCGTGGATTCCTAGGGTGTTAGAATCTTAGATTCTGAGCATTCTAATAGAATCCTAGAATCTACATGATGCAGAAATCTTTTCTACATTATCTCTGGCTGCCCAGGATGCTGTGTGGGAATTTCCCATCATGCATTCCTCCACGATGGGGCCTCTTTTAGCTCAGGTCTGTACATCAGGCTGGGAGAACAATGTTCAGATTTCAGCCCCAAAGACAAAGAAAGACAGAAGCTGAGATGTGGAGGTAAGAGATTCAGGGATGGGGATGAGTTGGGGCGCAGGGCTGGTTTCCCAGACACAGAGACAAGACGGTGAGGTAACAGAGAAGGACAGAGATAGAAACAACACCTCACACTCTTCAAACCCGGAATTCTCAGTTTAGCCTGGCCCCTAATGTCAGAGGTCAGAGGCTGGGGGATGGACATGTAGACCCCTAGTGGGTCCCCGGTCTCCAGCTGTCCAGGGCATGGACCCAGAGCAGAACAAGTGGACTGGAGCTGCAGTGAGAGGGCTTGAGGTTAGACCTCAGGAAGAAATGCATTGAGGGGTGAGCGATAGCAAACAGGAAAAGCCTGACGCCACAGATGACCCCCGACTTGGGGATTTTCCATACCCCTTCTCCCTCCATACGCACACATACACCAAAATACATACAGAGCCACTCCCCACAGACGCCACCAGACCTGTGGGGGCAGGAGGTGGGGCTGTTGTTGTATGGTAGGTGGAGCCCCCACGTGCCCACATGGTTCCCGGGGACCTAGGTCACCACCAAAGCCCCAGGTGAGGCAGGGAGGAAGGTGGCTCACTGCGCATGGGCTTAGGAAGGTGTAGGAGGTTTCAAGAGAGAATAACAAAGGTAGCGGCAGACAAACGGATGGAAGGGAGGGCAGAGGCCCGGAGAGGGTGTGTGCCTTGTTTAAAATCACACAGCACCCTGGGTCACATGTAGATGATGGGGGCCCAGAGAGGGTGTGTGGCTTGTGGAGGGTCACACAGCATCCTAGTGGACAGGAAAAGAGCACTAGGACTGAGAAGACCCCACACCTTCTCCCAGCTTGACCTCTGAGCCCTGTCTCAGCAGACATCTGTGGGTCCGCCTCGGGGAGCACCATCTCTGGAAATGGGAGGGTCTAGAGCAGCTGTTCCGAGCCACAGACTTCTTCCCGCATCCTGGGTTCAATGATGACCTCAGCGCCAATGACCACAATGATGACATCATGCTGATCCGTCTGCCCAGACAGGCACGGCTGGGACCTGCTGTGCAACCCCTCAACCTCAGCCAGACCTGTGTCTCTCCAGGCACCCAGTGCCTCATCTCAGGCTGGGGGGCCGTGTCCAGCCCCAAGGGTACAGCCTTGCCCACAACACACTCCCTTACATCTCATGCCGAGAGTCTGAATCCCTCCTCTTTCTCTGTCTCTGCCTTTTCATCTCTGCCATCTATCTATCTACCTATCTGTCTGTCTATCTACCTATCTACCTACATATCCATCCATCCATCCATCCATCCACATATTTCATCAAATCTAAGATGCCATGAATTATAAGATGCATCATTATTTTAAGACCCGCTAACAACAACAACAACAACAAAAGATCCCATTGATCCTTGTATGGCAGCATTTCCTGGAAGATACCTCCTGATTTCAGAAATGTTTAAATGTGAACATATATGCATCTTAGAATCAAAATAAGGCTACGTCTCTCAGAATCACAAAGCAGCAATCTATTAGCCAAATTTGGCTTCCCACATCAGAATCAGTTTTCAAAGTGTCTTGAAAAAAAAAAAGTCTGAATTTGTTGCTGCCAGCAAAGCCTAGGAGATTTCACATAAAAGACAAGTGTCTGGATTCACTTGAAAAATTCAAAGAACTGTGTACACTGGGCCCCCATTCCCCAAATATCGACAACTGTTGAACAGAGTAGGTGGAAGCTGTCCCCTTCAGACAAGTCCTCTGGTCCACTACGGTTCACCCCACTGGCTGCCGTCTCCCTGTACAGTCCCCTCCACTCACTTCTGTTTACCCATCGAGCCCCTAGATGCATCTGAATTTGCACCCGTATATTATATACATGAATATATGTAGGTCTATATCCACCTCTATCTCTATTATATGCACTGTATCTCCCTCTCTCTATCTAGTATCTCTAAATCTTTATCTCTATCTCTATCAATGACCATAAATGTCTCCTCTCCTTTACCTCACTGCCTTCTCCCTTGGTATCTCTGGTCCTATATCTCCCCATTTCTTCATTGCTTCCTCTGAGAATCTCTTTCCCTTTAAGAGGTCTCTATCTCCTGCGGCAGTCTCTATTTCTCTCTGTGTGTTATGTACGTATCTCTTCTTGTCTCTTGGGTCTCTGCATCTGCCTCTCATCTCTCTCTCTCTTCAGCCCTCTTCCCCACTTCATATACATCAGTTTCTCTTTCACACTATGATTCTGTCTCTTTGTCATCTTCTCTTGTTTCTGTTTTTGAGAGTCTTATGCTGTGGTTCCGTGGGTCCTCCTTCAGAAAGGGTGGGGGGGGCTGCTGAGTGTGGTGGGGACAGTTGCTGATCCCCTATGGTTGGATCTCTTTCCCCAACAGTGCAGTACCCGCTCACGTTGCAGTGTGCCAACATCAGCATCCTGGAGTCCAAACTCTGCCATCGGGCATATCCTGGCCACATCTCGGACAGCATGATCTGTGCCGGCCTGTGGGAGGGGGGCCGGGGCTCCTGCCAGGTGAGACCTACACTAGGGAGGAGGGAGATGGGTATCCTGCGGGGATTCCTGGGTCCTGTGGAGAAGGGAGTTGGGGCCCCAGACTTCCTGGATCAAAGCAAGGAGGGAGTCGGGACACCCGGGTCCTGGGAGAGGATGGGGCCAGGGCCAGGATTCCTGGATCTAGAGGAGGAGGGGACTGGGGGTCTAGACTGTAAGTCCTGGGGGAAGCGGGGACTAGGAGACGACAGTGCTAGGTCCAGGGGTGAGGTGGGAGCTGTGACGGTCTGAGGGAGGAGGGCCTGGAGACCTGGATACGGGGATGTTGGGGGAGAAGGAGTCGGGTGTTCCTGGAAGGAGGAAGGGACCCGTGTAATGTCACAGATAGACCCTCCTGACAGTCTCTCTGCTCTTCTCTCACGTACAGGGTGACTCTGGGGGGCCCCTGGTTTGCGACGGAACCCTGGCAGGTGTGGTATCTGGGGGCGCCGAGCCCTGCTCCAGACCCCAGCGCCCCGCCGTCTATACCAGCGTTTGCCACTACGTGGACTGGATCCGAAAGACCATGGAGGACAACTGAGCCCTCGATCTTTGGACGATAAGAGAGGGTGGGCGCAGAGCAGGGAGGAACAGCGGCGTTCCAGCCTCAATGGTCTCCGCCCTTGGCCTCAGCTGCCCTGGAGACACCTTCTGGACATTCAGGCTCGGACCCTCGGAATGGAGCAGGGAGACACCTGCGCCTCTCGTGGCCGGGTGTCTATGACGTCACCAAGAACTGGCACCACCCGGCGAAAGAGCATCACCTCGTGGCTCTGCCCGGGTGTGAAATGCACCAAATAGCTCCGCCCCTCGGAACTTTGTCCAATGAGACTTCGCCCCTGCACTCCGCCTCCTGTTGCCCCGCCTCCTCCGCCAGAGACCCCGCCCCCTTGACGTCAGGGGGCGGTACCTTCCCCCACGTGGAGCTCCGGCAGTACCGGGCTCCGCCCCATGTGGCCCCGCCCCAGGCGTGTCCTGGGTTTGAATTGTGGCGGGGGACCAGACTGGGAGAAGTAGGGGGCTGGGGGGGTCGGGGGAGGGTCTCGATCCCTTCAAAGCCAATAAACGTGCAGAGCCGCGCCTTCCTTCCTTCTCGCTGTGGAATGAGGGAAGGGCCACCAGTGGGCAGTGGAGGGCAGATTGGGGACAGCCACCGCGCTGCAATTCCCCTTGCGCCCTTAATAGGTCCTGCCTGAAGTCTGTCTCCATCAGCCCTATTGCAGCAAGGCTCTTGGGATCTGATCCGGCCGGTCCCGTCTCCCCTAGGGGAAGGGGAAACCAGGTCACGGTGCCTCCCAAACCTGCCTTCCCGGATCCCAGACCTCTCAGGGGGCAGCGGGTGGGGCCCGATCTGTCCTCAAATGTTGGGGTCAAGAAGACTCGCCTTTCTTCCTTTCCTGGTTACTGGCAGCAGCCCCTTCCTCCCACAAAATCCCAGGCTCCAAATCCCTCCTTCCAAAAAGACTTAAGAATTCAGCCGCCAGCCCGCTCCTCCCTCAGGACCCAAGTCCAGGCCTCCATCCCCGTGCTCCCTCAAACTCAGGAGTCCAGGTCCCCAGCCTCCTCCTTCATCAGACCCAGATGTCCTGGCCTCCATTCCCCTCCTCCCTCAGACCCGGGAGTCCGGGCCCCCAGCCCCTCCTCCCTCGGACCCAGATGTCTAGGCCCTCAGCCCCTTCTGTTTCAGATCCAGGAGTCACAGCGCTGAGCTCCTTCTCTCCCTTGCTTCCGAAGTCCGAGATTATAGCTCCTCTTCCCTCAAGATGTCCCGTTCAGCCCCTCAGCCCCTCCTCGCTTATCCCCAGGGTCTCAGTGCCCAGAAGCTCCGCAGGCTCAGGAGCCGGTGGAGGCGGAGCAGGAGGCGGAGACTCCCAGATAAAAGGCTCCAGAATCCTGTACCAGGCAGACAGCCGCAGTGCTGGGGCCTCTTCCTCTGAGTCTGAATCAGTAGGAGACCCCGCCCCCTGGATTCCCTAAGGTGAGATGCAGAAGTTCTCAGACACAGGCATCAGGGCCCGGGGCCCCTCCTCCTCTAGGTCCCAGGACCCCAACCTCAGATCCCTTCCTCCTTCAAGACCCAGGAATCTGGGCCCCCACCCCCTCCTCCCCAAGACTTAGGAGTCCCAGCTCCCAGTTCCCTCTTCCTTCAGACCCAGGAGTCCGGGATCCTCACTCCCTCCTCCCTTGGAACACAGGAATCTAGCCTCCAGTGCTCCCTTCCCTCAGACCCAAGAATCTGAGGCCCCAGGCCCCTCCTCTTGCAGGACCCAGAAGAACAGCTCCCGATGCTCTGTTCCCTCCCCAATCCCAAAATCCTACTAGGATTTCGGGCTCCTTTCTCCTTTCTCAGCCCCACCCTCCCCCTCTCCCAGACCCCACCATGGGATGCCCCCCACCTGCTGCAGTCTGGACCTGGACTTTCCTCCTTTTGCTGTTGGAAGCCTGGGCAGGTGAGGGGAGCCAGAAGGCATCGGTGGCGCGGGGCGGGAGCCTGTGGGAATGCCGTGGTGGTTACATGGGTGCATGTGGTGGTGTGGGGCTGGTGAAGCAAGCGACGGCATGTGGGAGCTTCTGTGGGTTTTCCTGACAGTGGGTGGGGCACCTGGCAGGAGGTAGGAGCATGTCGGGTTGTGCTGCTTATGTCCTGAGCACACCAAGCCGGCAGGGCTGCTTGCCGAGAGGTGCAGATGCACGCTGGAGTATACGGGGCATGTGGATGCGTCTGGAAGCGTGCTCGGGTGTGTGACCGCGTGTGTGATGACCCATGGGCTTCAGTGAGTGTACACGTGTGTCTGGGTGGCAGCTGGGGCCTCACACGTGGGGGCGTGTGGATGTGGGAGGAGGAGGGCCGAGAACTTGCTGTGTGTCCCTTTGAACCCACAGTGGTTTGCCTGGCCCCACACTGCCCCAGAAGATGCTGATCCAACCCTCTCCCTCCCACTGCAGGACGCTTGAGGGCGCAGGAGTCCAAGGTGCTGGACGGCCACGAGTGCCAGGCCCATTCGCAGCCTTGGCAGGCGGGCTTGTTCCAGGGTGTTCGGCTGCAATGTGGGGCTGTCCTCATAAGTGACAAGTGGGTCCTCACAGCCGCCCACTGTAAAAAAAAGTGAGTGGGTGCCTGGGGAAAGAGGGCGCTGGGGTCTCAGACTCCTGCCTGGGTCCTCAAGGATCACGCACCATTACAGGAAGTACACAGTGCGCCTGGGAGAGCACAGCCTGCAGGAAAAGGAGGGGACAGAGCAAAGAATGGCTGTGGCTCAGTCCCTCCCACACCCCTGTTACAACAGCAGCAGCGAGGACCACAAGCATGACCTCATGCTCATTCGACTACGTGGGCGAGTATCCCTGGGGCCCAAAGTGAAGCCCATCAACCTGGCGGATCGCTGCCCTGAAGTTGGCCAGAAGTGCACCATCTCTGGCTGGGGCACTGTCACCAGCCCGCGAGGTAGTGGGAGGGAGAGGAGGAGCCGGTTGGCCCGGTGGACCCACAAGCCATTGGCAAAGCTTTGCCTCCAGAAGGAGATAAAGAAAGGAAAGTGACTGTGATGTTGAGAGTCACAGGTAGCCCATGTTGGAAACCTTGAAGGCCAGAATATTAACAGGAGTGGTGGGAGAAAGACAGCAAACTAGCAGATTGTTAAGCAGGGCTCAGAAAAATGGGTGAATGAATGAATGAGTGGATGAATGAATGCATGCCCCCTTTATAGTGGAGAGTACCATGTTATGAGACCTTTTGTTGTACAGGATTTTATATAATCTTTTTAACAAACTTAGGATATACAGGCTCCTTGGTGGCCCAGGAAAACAGATCCCAAAGCACCTTCTCCCTCTTGACCCCAAGACTCCTAGCCCCAGACCCCCACTTCTCTCACATCCAGGAGTCCAGGCCCTTCCCCTCCCAGGACCCACAGGCTAGGTCCAGAGTCCCCTCCTCACTCTGCATCCAAAAGTCTGCACCTCCACGAGCTCCTCCCTTTGGGACTTCAGAGTCCTGGGAGCCCCTCATCCTGAGACGCAGTGAAAAAATTGGGGCTCAGCTCAAAAAGGCGATGTGATTCACCAGGAAGTGGCAAAGCCAGGATTCAGGTCCCTGCCTGTCTGACTCCTACTTCGAAGGAGACAATGGGATGCTGTGGAAACCCACCTGCTCGTGAATGAGGCAGGTCAGCTCAAACCATGGCTCTGCCCCTTTTCTCTGGGCAAGTCCCTTCCCATCTCTTGGCCTCATTTTCCTCATCTGTAAAATGGGGATAATTATCCAACAGATTTTTAAGCTCCATAAGGGGTCAGGTTACATCTATTTTCTTCATTGGATGTTCCTAGTGCACAGGATGGTAATGGTATACAGTAGGTGCTCACTAAATATTTCTTGAACGAATGCATGGATGAAGGAATGATGGAACGAATGAATGCATCCCTCCTTCAAAGAGTGGTTGTGAGGATTAAATGAGATTGGAAGCATACAGCTTCTGACACATAGAGGCACCAGATAGAAGGTTTTTCTCCTCAAGTCTATTGCTCAAAGTTTCATAAAAAAGATCCATTTCACTTTAAATCATTAATTCAACACTTCTTTGTGAGCATCTGGTATGCTCCTGGGGCTGGACGGTGCAAAGTCCCTATCCAAACGGAGTTGCACACTAGGTGGGGGAAATAGATATACACAAATACATATAAAATAAAATATTAGGTAGAGTTACACCCTGTAATGGAATATCATGGAGGCTGAGAGGAAAAGGAGTGATGGAGAGGTGGTGTTTTAATTAGAGTGGTCAGGGAAGGCTTCCAGGAGGAGGTGACATTTGGAAGAAGTAGGATTTAGCTGAGATGGAAGACCTGGGAGTAGGAAGATTGAAGAGAAAAGGTCAGAGGTGTCACAAGGGGGCCCCTCCAAGTCCCCTGGTTGCCTGATCCTTAATTTGAAGATGTCTCAGGGCAAGAAACAAAAGGTAGGATCTGAGGGTTCTTTTCTAGATGGAGAGAAGGAAATAGCAGGGGCCGTGACGTGTGTCATGTGATAAGTGATGTCCCCTGTGAAATGTGTCAGAAAACTCCCCCGTGTAGCTGTGGATGGACAGAAGGGAGGTTAGACCCAGGCCAGGATCGGGGGAAAGGGTTGCTCTCTCTGGGAACTTACAACCTCTGCCCCCTCAGAGGATTTTCCTGACACCCTCACCTGTGCAGAAGTAGAAATCTTTCCCCAGAAGCAGTGTGAGGACGTCTACCCCGGGCAAGTCACAGATGGTATGATCTGTGCAGGGAGCAGCAGTGGGGCTGACACATGCCAGGTGAGTGACTCTGAAAACCCCTTCTTCCCTCCTCCCTCACCACCTTGTAGAGGCTCAAGGCTCGGCAGCGGGGTGACCCCAAGGAGTTAGCACCCAGAGAGGTTGCCCCTATCTCTACAGAGTGGGAAGCAGGTTCAGAGAAGGCCACACTCTCCCTGCAGGTCACACAGCACAGGGATCAGGAATGTTGAATTGTCACTGTCATTGTCTTGGGAACTCTTGCCTGCGGGATGGAAGGCAGGGAGGAGGTGAGAGGAGATGTCCATAAAAGGAGAGAGTCTGAGCTAAAGGGCATGCAGGCTCCCTGCCGCCTTTCTCTGTGTTAGTTTCTGGAATGTGAGCTGACTCTACCACTGACTAGTAGTCAGCCACTCTTCTTTGGGACCTGAGTGGGTTCCCCAGCTTGGCCACCTTCTCCTGTGACTGGTTCTTTGGGGAGCAGTGCTCTTTTCCCAACAGGCCAGGGAATGGAGCCATTGACTTCAAAGCTCCCTCAACGAGCTCCTCATTCCCAAGATGACAACTCTTGGGATTTGCCATAGATATAACATTCTCTTTCCTATTGGCTGCAACTCTCGTCTTCAGAGCTCCCCCCTCCCCCCGCCCCGTTGTCCCCTTCATGGAAGCCCCACCTCCTTGGCTAATGATTGACCCCTGAAGACAATGCGTCAATGCTTTCTACCCCATTGGCCAGGAATGGAGTCATTTCCATCAGTGATCCTGTCATGAAATCCAATCCGTCTGGATGGCTTCATAGAGACAATGATCTCTTCCCACAAAGACTCCCGCCATTGTCCCTTGGTGTGTGTGTGTCCGTGTCCACAAGAACCCTACTCCTTTCTCCTATGTTTGGTAACCGGATTCAGTGATCTCTTCACCAGCGGCCAGGAAAGGAGGAGACATCAGTTCAGACCCCTCCGTGTAATCCCCACTGTCTTCTCTCTGATTGGACCCCGGAGACATCATTCTCTTCCCTCATTGGTCCCCGTATGGAAGCCCCATCCCTCGCTCTCACCATTGGTCCCAGGGGACAATGCTCTTAACCCCATTGGCTAGAAGGGACCAATCATGCTACTGGTACCAAATGCTGGATACAGCAGAGAAAGGAACTTCGTGAGCATCTCAGGTTCACCTCTTCTCTTGCTCTCCCCATCCAGGGTGATTCCGGGGGCCCCCTGGTGTGTGGTGGCGTTCTTCAGGGCATCACATCCTGGGGCTCGGACCCCTGTGGGCAGCCCGAGAGACCTGGCGTGTACACCAACCTCTGCCGCTACCTGGACTGGATCAAGAAGACCATGGGCAACAGTGGCTGATCCTAGGGAGAGCTCTGGAGCCCCCTCAATAAACTCACAACCTCGGGCGTTGCCCCTTGCCTGTCTGTGCTTCAGTCCTGCCTGGAGGTGTGGAGGGGTGGGGGTCTGCATCCTGCTGGGGGTCTTGATGGGTGGTCTAGAGAGACCAGGACCCCCATGGCCACGCTGGCCATCACCTCTGCCTGAAGCCACTCCTTTTTTTCTGGAAGGACTTGGAGGAATGGGAGGTTAATTTCAGGGGAAAGAAGTTCTGTAACTATTTCCGGATATCCAATGGTCTGGCCTGTGAAAGACAGGCTTGAAAGTGTTTTTGTTTAGTTTTTCTGAGCAGCTAACGTGTTTCTAAGCTTTGGGGGGAAATTTCCCCTCCCCTACTTTTAAAATTGTGAGACATGCCTAGTAGGGTGCAGGAAATGCATGAACATCTTAAATATTCACACACAAACACCCAGGAAACCACCATCCAGGTCAAGAAATAGAACATTGACAGCCCTCAAAAGTCTGAGAGACAGATTTTTTTTTTTCTCAACAGAAATAGAAGCCTTTCTCACAGTTTAGAGCTGTCTGGAGGTGACTGCTGTGGTAGAGGGAAATGAGTCGCTTCATTGCTGTTGTCCAAATTGAAGTATGGAGAAAAGGACATTTTGGGGAGTTTTCATCAGAGCAAAGGCTCTAGACAAGGCTCTAGAGTAAGTTATCTTGGGAAAGATGTGTGGAGGGGGTAAGGATATAAATAAATTGCAATGAGCTAGAGACGGCTGCCCCCTATGTCTAGCTCATCTCTCTTCAGGTATGTTCCGTACCTTTCTTGCTACCAACCGTCTAATTCATTTGTTTGACTCTGTAACTCCTTTCTCTGCCTTATGCTTCTGCATTTTCATAGTGTCTGCTCCCTCATGGGATGCTCCAAATTCCCTACTTCACAGCCTTTGAACTTCGCCTTTAACTGCCACCAGCTGTGTCACACAGGATTTCTCAGATTATGTTCTCATGAAAGAGAATCCAATTGGTCCAGCTCCCCTTTTCTCCATCAGCCACATCATAGGTCACTGAATGGCCAATGGTTTGACTGCATTCTGGTCAGGTGACCAATCCTATCCAATCAGTGGCTATTTGGAGTCATGTGACATGAGAGGTGGCTATCCAGGGCTTGGATGGGGCATGTTCTCCACAAAAGGTGTGGCTGTGCCAGATGCCTGGCATACATCAGCTTCCCAGATCCTTCATGAAAGTCCTCTAACACCATAAATCCTGAGGAAGTCTGTCATGCCTGGTACTAAACCCCTGGTGCCAGGGTTGCATTTCCAGCGGGTCATCTCAACCTAAAGAATTATTTTATAATTTTTGTTATGGAAAATTTCAAACATATAAAATATAGAGAGACTAGTATAACAAACCCTCTTGTACCACAATCCAACTTAATGTAAGACCAATTCTTGTTTTACCTATATTCCCATTCATCTCCCTAACGCTGAAATATTTTTTTTTAATAATTTTATTTATTTATTTATTTTTTCCCCCAAAACCCCAGTAGATAGTTGTATGTCATAGTTGCACATCCTTCTAGTTGCTGTATGTGGGACGCGGCCTCAGCATGGCTGGAGAAGCGGTGCGTCGGTGCGCGCCCGGGATCTGAACCCGGGCCGCCAGCATTGGAGCGCGCACACTTAACCGCTAAGCCACGGGGCCGGCCTGCTGGAATATTTTTGAAGTAGATCTCAGCCATCATTTCATTCCTAAATATTTCATTACGTATTTTTAAAACAGAGGATAGCAAACTACAGCTGGTAAGCCAAATCCCAAGAACTAAATATAATTTTTATTATTTAGTTTGATGACAGGGAACACTAATTCTGAACACTAATGATGCAAGATGTTATCCTCTGAAAAGAATTCCATTTTTTTCATTAATAGGCTTGTATGACAAAAATTGGTACTAAATGATTATTATTGTATTTTGAATTTCATCAGTTAAAAAATGTGTGGAAATTTATTTTCTCTCTTATTATGTATCTACATAATATCCTCGATTTTGTCTCTTGGTCCACAAAACCTAAAATATTTACTCTCTGGCTCTTTATGGAAAAAGTTTGCCAACCCCTACTCCAACAGATAGATTCTTTTTAAACATAACCACCTTACATTATCATGCCTTGCAGAGTTAATAATTCCTTAATATCACCCAATATTCAGGTGATATTTAAATTTTTTCCCCCAAAGCCCCAGTAGATAGTTGTATGTCATAGCTGGATATCCTTCTAGTTGCTGTATGTGGGACGCGGCCTCAGCATGGACGGAGAAGCGGTGCGTCGGTGCGCGCCCGGGATCCGAACCCGGGCCGCCAGTAGCGGAGCGTGCGCACTTAACCACTAAGCCACGGGGCCGGCTCTCAGGTGATATTTAAATGTCCCCAATGGAAGATAAACCAGAGAGGACTTGAAAATTGATTTATGGTATAAAAGAGGAGGGTGGTTGAGGTCAAGGAGGGGAAGGGACCTGTCCAAGATCAATCATAAATTCAGGAATGGAATCATGGACTGTGGAGTCTGGCAGGAGATCAGAGCACCAGGCCTGGACGAAAGCTGGCAGGATCCAGTTATCCAGGGAGCTTATTTCTGCCTCAAACAGGGAGTTTTGGATACAAGCATCAGAGCCCCAGTTCAAACTGGCTTATACATAAGAGGGCATTGGTTGGCTCAGGTGGCTAGGAAGGCCGTGGGGTTGGCTCATGATGTCAGAGGAAGTGACATGGGTACCAGAGCCTTCAGTACTTGAAATGGTGACAAGCCAATCAACTCTCTCTCTGTCTCTCTGGGACACTTTATCTGTCACTCTGCCTCCCTCTCTCTGTCTCTGTTTCTCTCTCCCATATGTATGAGCTGTTTCTCATCTCTGTTTGTCTCTTTCCCTCTTCTTTTTTTTTTTTTTTTAAAGATTTTATTTATTTATTTTTTCCCTGCAAAGCCCCAGTAGATAGTTGTGTGTCATAGCTGCACATCCTTCTAGTTGCTGTATGTGGGACGCGGCCTCAGCATGGCCAGAGAAGCAGCGCGTCGGTGCGAGCCCGGGATCCGAACCCGGGTCGCCAGCAGTGGAGCGCGCTCACTTAACCACCAAGCCACGGGGCCGGCCCTCTTTCCCTCTTCTGTGGATCTCATTCTAGCCTCTGTAGACAGACTTCTTCACATGGAGGGAGCATAGCAGCTACAGACAGACCCAGTTAAGCAAACCCAGCAGAAACAAAGATCTCCTTTTCTCACTGCATCTTGATATTAATCCCAGGGAAGAATTCTGATTGGTCCAGCTTGAACTGAGCCCACCCCTTGGATCAATCATTGTTGCCAGGGAAGAAGCAGTGATCTCATTGGCTTGGCTTGGATGGTGTGTCCATCCCAATGGGTGGGTGGTGAGTGGAAGGGTTTGGAGAAGTGTGATTGATGGTTTCACCAGAACTATATGGAATGAGGGGACAGCTTCCCAAAAGAAGTGGGGAGCTGCTCTTGAAAGAAGGAGGCAAGGAATCCAGGAAGTCTGAAACAATGGGCCTTCAGAACACAAAGGGTGGAATCAGATGGTTCCAGGGTCACAGTATCCAGGACCCCTCAGCGCAAGGCACAGTTGGCAAGATAGCCAGATGCCAGTTCTCAGGTGTGATCATGAGCTGGAGGATGAGTCATCAGGCAAAGGTTCAGCATAGATCTGAGGGCCAGGGAAGTAGGAAGCTGGGTGTCTGGGTGGGACTTAGGAACAGGTGCTAAACCCAAAGGGCACAGAAGGACTGGGACTTGGGGCTGTCACCAACATGGGGGTATGCATCATTAATAATAAGCCCATGGGGTTCTGAGTTAATCTTGAGGGTATGTGAGGGTGTCCCAGAGTGTGGGTTTGTGCAATGGTGACACCATGGCAACGCCCAGCATTCAAATTCTGACTCTTCTGACTTCTTAGTTGTATATCTTTGCTCAAATGATCTAACCTCTTTTAAACCTCCAATTTCTCATCTATAAAATGGGGAAGACAATCCTCGCTTGGCCCCATGTGACGAATGGAGATGAGGTTTGAAAAGCACTTGACACATCACACAGTAGATACACAAGAAATGGAAGCTACTTCGTTCCCTGGCTGGTGGGGCAAGGCAACTATTACTTCAATGCCTGCTATGTGCCCGTCCACTTTCCTCTCATAATTTTATTTAATCTTCCCATTTTTCTTGAGATTATTCTCCCCTGCTTTAGACAGGGGCAAAGTGAGGCTCAGAAAAATTGAGTCACTTACCTGAAATCACAGGGAGGGAAACCAGGATTCACACCTGGGTTGGTCTGACTTGTGAGGCCAACTTCTTTCTATCGCATCCCGTGGCTGAATGGCTCAGGGATCAAGGAAGAACTGAGTCTCAGGTTGGCAAATCTGTGGGCGCCAGTGGTTTGCATACTAGTATTTATTTAAGTACCTCCTATGTTCCCTGGTCTGGGCTGGGTGCTGAAGAAAACATCTGTAAACATCTGCTTGTGAAGACCAGCGTTTAGCAATAAAATCAATTAAATAATGAAGAACACAGAAAGACAGATAAGCAAAGCACAGCAGAAGAGGAGTGACTAGCAGGGCTCCAGAGAAGTGTAACTCCTTTCCTCTTTCTAACAGAATGCTGAGGAGGCAGAGGGCTGAGGGGAGAATCCAGGGATGAAGATTCAGGCAGTAGATAGCCAGTTGGAAGTCTTGCCAAAATTCCTCTCTTTGGGAAGCCAGGAGGGAAAGATAGAGATTGCTGGGTCATGAGGCTGTGAGATCAAATGGCCTGGGTCTGATTTGGGACCCAAGTCAGGAAGTTTGAGACCTTTCAGGGCTAGAGTCTTGCTGTGGAATTGGTGGCATCAGGAGTCTGTGTTCTGGGGTCTGATTTTGAATTTGATGAGAGTGGGGGTCTCCGAAGGTTTGGGGACTTAGCTTGAATTTAGTCAATATGGGATCAACCATATTGTTGATGGTGTTCGTTAGTAGACTTTATTTTAGAGTTTTTGTGAAACAAAGGGTCAACGTGGTGTGTAGAGTTGATGAAGGGGTGGGGGAAAGAGTTGGAAATCAGGATGGGATTTCAGGTAGAAAATGGGCTGGAAGTGAGAATGGGGGTGCGATTGGGGTCAGAGTGTTAGGATTGGCGTGGGATGTGAGTGGGGATGGGTTCATGAGGAGGCTTTCAATGTGGGCTTCCTGGAATATAACAGGGATGGAGACAAGTTTGAGTTGTGCATGGGGTCAGGTATGGTACTGAGGCTATGGTGACATTCAGTGTTTGGGTAAAGGGTGAGTTTGGCTCGTGGTTAGGGGTTCGAGGTTCAGGTCAAGAGTGAGACTTAAGGTTGGTTGAGGGCCGGCCCCATGGCTTAGCAGTTAAGTGCGCACGCTCTGCTGCTGGCAGCCCGGATTCGGATCCCGGGCGTGCACCGATGCACCGCTTCTCCGGCCATGCTGAGGCCGAGTCCCACATACAGCAACTAGAAGGATGTGCAACTATGACATACAACTATCTACTTGAGCTTTGGGGGGAGAAAAAAAAGGAGGAGGACTGGCAATAGATGTTAGCTCAGGGCCGGTCTTCCTCAGCAAAAAGAGGAGGATTAGCATGGATGTTAGCTTGGGGCTGATCTTCCTCACCAAAAAAAAAAAAAAAAAAAAAAAAAGGTTGGTTGAGGTGTGAGTTGATATTTGGAGTCAGGACTTAGGTTCCAAGTTGAGGTATAAATTGCAGTTGGTCGAGGATAAAACAGAACTGAGGGTTAGGACTGCATATGATTTGAAGTTTCGGGTTAAGACTTGGGCTTGTGTCAAGATTGGTGTTGCGAGTTGCGTCAAAGTAAGAACTGGAGTTAGAATTACGCTTGAAGTCAGAGACTGAGGTCTTTCTCACCCTCCCGTAAGCTCTTGATCATGTATGACCATGCCTTCTCAATGAATGGCATCACCATCCGTCAAGCAAGAGATCGTGAAGCCTTACCATCTACCTCCGTCACCACAAACTTCATTCAATCCATCACCAAGGCCTGTTGATGTTCTCTGCTAAATGCATCTTGAATCCATCCACTCATTGCCATCTCCACCTCCCAAATGGCCTCATCCAAGTCATCATCATTTCTCATTTGGACAACAGTAATGGCCTCCTCATGTCTCCACAATCCCTTTTTTTTTTTTTTAATAATTTTATTTATTTATTTATTTTTCCCCCAAAGCCCCAGTAGATAGTTGTATGTCATAGCTGCACATCCTTCTGGTTGCTGTATGTGGGACGTGGCCTCGGCATGGCCGGAGAAGCGGTGCGTCGGTGCGCGCCTGGGATCCGAACCCGGGCCGCCAGCAGCGGAGCGTGCGCACTTAACCGCTAAGCCACGGGGCTGGCCCTCCACAATCCCTTTAAAATCCATTTTTCGTATAGCAGCCAGATTGATATTTTGAAAATACAAATCTTGCTATATTATTCCCTGACTGAAGTCCAAGTGGTTCACCATTGTCCACAGGATAAAGTCAAACTCACCATGACATACAAGGTTCTTCACTGTCTGGTTCCAGCCAACTTCTGGTTTCTGAACTCCATCCATACTCCCCTTCCTTCTCAGAACCTTTGCACATGCTGTTTCCTCTACCAGATACACTCTCCAGGCTCCTTCCACTTTCTTCTAGGTAATGCTTACCATCCTTTTCACACTCAGCTCGTTGTCACTACCTGGCTCAAGACCCCCCCTGAAAGTGCTTTCATAATACTCTGTATCTTTCCTTCAGAGCACACATTATTGTTGTAATTTTACATTTGTTTACCAATGATTTGATTATTTTTCTTTTACACCAGACTATCAGCTCCTTGAACGAAGGGACTCTGTCCAGGTTTGTGCACCATGGTATCCTCAGCACATAGCCCAGCCTCGTACACAGCTGGTGTTCAATATGTATTTATTGAGCATATAAAGGATTGGGTCTGAGAGAGGATGTGAGAGGAGGGCTGGAGAGAGCTAGGACTGGAGGTAGAGTTGGGTTTGTTGATGAATGTGGTTAGAAGATATAGATTCAAGTTAGAATTGGATTGGGATTCATGGTTTGGGATCGGATTTGGGGTCTGAGTTGAGATTTGGATTCAGTGTGGAGGTCTTACTAAGGAAGATTTTGGCTGTGGGGACCAAGAAACTGAAAATCGGAAAGCAAGTCTGAAGAAGTCATGAGATGAAGAGTCTCCATAGTTGGTTAATTCACCAGCTCAGTGACCTTCTCAAAGGCCCCAATTATCTGCGTCTCTGTGTTAGGCCATCTGCAGTGTTTTGGCTTGGTCTGCCAGCAACTTCTCCCCCTGGTCCCAGGAGGGCAGCCACAGTTCCAGAATTTACAGCCATAAGAAGAAAAAAGACTTCATTCAGTGTTTCTGTTTGGAAGTAAGAAAGCCTTTCCCAGAAGTGCCTGGGAGTCTTCCCCTCACTCCTCATTGGCCAGACCTTCACCCAATGTCCATTTCTAAACCAATCACTAGCAAGCAGAATATGGTTTCCATGCTTGGTACAGTAAAACTTATAGTCATAATGAGGATAAAGAATTATCCAAAGAAAATCGGGGTTCTGATAGAAAGGCAGAAGGAGTGCAAGCTTGGGGAGGCAACAATAATGTCTACGGGGGGTTCAAATTGTAGGACAAAGGTAGAACTGAGTTGAAGTCAAGATATAAGGAGACAAGATTTGGGCTCAGAGCTGAAAAATGAATCACATTTTTGGGTCTGATTTAGAAGTTGGAGTCACTTTTAGGAATATATATTTTTTATGTGCATGAGGAAGATTGGTCCTGAGCTAACGTCTGTGCCCATCTTCCTCTATTTTGTATGTGGGATGCTGCCATAGCATGGCTTGATGAGTGGTGCGTCGGGATGTGCCCGGGATTCGAACCTGCAAACCCCGGGCCGCCAAAGCGGAGAGCACGAACTTAACCACTACGCCACTGGGCCAGCCCCAACACTTTTAGGAATTTGCCTTCTAGTAATAATCAGAAGATGGTTCCCATCTTTTACTCAAAGTAAAAGCCAACATCCTACATTGGTCTCCAAGTTCCCATGTGTTCCGGGTCCTGTTATGCCTCTGACCTCATTACCTGCCCTTCTTCCCCTTGCTCATTCAGCTCCAGTCAAAATGGCTTCCCTGCTAGAACATTCTAGGCACATCTCTTACCTAACTCACCTGGAACTCACTACCCCCAATTAGCTACATGGATCTATCCACCATCTCCTTCAAGATTTTGTTTAAAGGCCATCATGTGCAGTCTTTTCAATTATCTTTCCTAAGATTGTAACCACAGGCGTCCCTGAGAGTGGAGGGAACCAAAATCTCCCCATCTCTCTTCCATGCTTTTATTTTTCTCCATAACACTTACCACCACCTAACAAGCTTTATATTTTATGTACTTCTCTTTGTATTCACGGTCTCCTCCCACTAGAACAAGAGCCTCTATGAATGAATTTTTGTCTGTTTCATTGACTGCTGCTCCCTCAGGAGCCAGAATAGTTTCTGGCACAGAGTAAACGCTCAATGGATACTTCTTAAATGAATACAATGAGCAAAGATGAACCCACAAAGAAGTTCATCCCGGCATGGTTATAATTAAAACTCTCCACATGTACTTCGATTTGAAACAGATTACATAAATCAGGATACAACCATTGTATGGAATTTTATGCAACCCTTTTAAAAAAGGAGAAATGATCTAAAAGTACTAAGAGGAAAAATTGTTCAGGATATTTTATAGAGTAAATACAAGATTACATTAGAGAATGTTTAGTACAGACATTTTTGTTATAAATACATATGTACAGAAATCTATGTATCATATGAGAACACAGACATAATTGGTAACAGTAAGCATTTAGTAGGGTGGAGTTAGGGAAAGCCTTCTCTTTTTAATCCGTACCCCTATATTAGGGCTGGGATGGGTTCAGGCTCAAAGACATGACTGGGATCCAGACTGGACAAGTTCCCACAGGCTCTCCAGAATTAGGGTGTAGGGTCTAGGCCACCCCTGAGAGGGGGTGAGGGTGAGAAAAATGGCCACAGCGGAAGACTCAGGCCAAAGCCCATTCCCTGAGCTCTGCTTTTCCTTGAAGCCTGCTCCCGCCCCTCAGAGCCAGTATCTGGTCCCTCTGTCCTTAGCTGCCACCAGGGATGGTGGGGTCAGAATGTGCGGGGGGGGCGGAGGGGGGCAAAATAGTTGGCTCCTGCCCCCACCCGGACCTCAAGCGGGAGGGTGGAGAAAGAATAGACTTTGGCCAATCGCTTTAGCTGCCTCAGGGCTTCAAGATAACTGCAAATCCAGGAATGGGGTGTCCCAGAACCAGCTCCACCTGCACCCCAGGACGCTGGGGGCGGGGGCGGGGGTGGTATAAGAGGGCCGCCCTGCACAGGGCTGGAGACACTTGGCTCCCAATCAAGTCTGGAGCCCAAGTCAGATCAGACTCTCCTGAGGTGAGAATGGGCCTCATTTAGGGTGAAGGAGATGAGGCTGGCTGGGTAGCTGACTCTTGCTCCTGAGGGGAAGCGGGTAGGGGGGCCCTGGACTGCCGGGTCTGAAGGAGGAGGGGCTGGGGTCCCGGACTCAGGGGTCTGAGGAAGGGGGGCTGGGGGATGGACTCCCGGGTCTGAGGGAGGAGGGGCTGACGGATGGACTCCCGGGTCTGGGGGAGGAGGGGCTGGGGGCCCAGACTCCTGCTGCCTGAGCTCTTTGTCCTTCCTAGTCCAGCAGAAGAGACCCTTCCTCTGCCCGGCGGCCTGGAGAGGCTCAGAGAAGCCACCATGGCAGGATCCTTTCTCTCCACCGTGGTGATCCTACTGCTGTCCTTAGTCCTGGGATCCGCTGGACAAGAAGGTGAGGGCTGAACGGGCAGGCCTGACCTTGCCCCTGGGCCTTCCAGCATCCCCCCTGACCCTTTCCAGGACCCCGCTGTCTCCAAGGAGTCCCTAAGTCAGGACACCTCGCTGCTCCAGCAGCGTCATCCCACAGAGGACAAGACTCTTCTGCCTCTGCCCCCTTTCTTCCTGCTTCCTTCTGACTCCTGGGGTCTCTGCCCTCCAGGCCCTGTCTCCTGCATTCAGTGTCTCTCCCATCAGCTTCTGGGGTTGCCTCCAGACAAGACGCTCCTCCTGGGCGTCTGAGCGGACTCTCGCTGTCTCTCATCTCCATCTCCCCCTTATTCTGCACTCTTCTCCATTTCTGCCTCTGCCTCTCTCCATGCCTCTCTGTCTGTCTGTCTCCATCTCTGTCCTCCCCTGACCCTTGCTACCCACATTTTTCTCCATTTCTCTATCCAGCTGAGCGTGACAGGGGCGAGGATAAGATTATTGATGGAGTCCCATGTCCAAAAGGCTCCCAGCCCTGGCAGGTGGCCCTGCTCAGGGGTGATCAGCTCCACTGCGGAGGCGTGCTGCTCAACGAGCAGTGGGTGCTCACGGCCGCCCACTGCATGATGAGGTGGGTCAGCGCCTCCAGCCCTCCCTCTGGGCTCTGTCCCCCTCTCTCTGGGTCCCTGTCTCCCTCTCTCTGGTCTCTGTCCCCCTCTCTCTGGGCTCTGTCTCCCTCTCTCTGGTCTCTGTCCCCCTCTCTCTGGGTCCCTGTCCCCTCTCTCTGGGTCTCTGTCCCCCCTCTCTGGGTCTCTATCCCTCTCTCTGGTCTCTGTCCCCCTGTCTCAGTCACACCATCTCTCTCTGAATGTCACTCCTTTCTCTCAGTGAGTACAACGTGCACATGGGCAGCGATCAGCTGGATGATCCGAGAGCCCAGAAGATCAGGGCCACAAGGTCATTCCGCCACCCCAGCTACTCCACGCAGACCCATGTTAATGACATTATGCTTGTGAAGCTAAATAGCCGGGCCAGACTGTCATCAAGTGTGAAGAAAGTCAACCTGCCCTCCAGCTGTGATCCCCCTGGGACCACATGTACCGTTTCTGGCTGGGGCACCACCACCAGCCCTGTTGGTGAGGCTGCCTCTGTGGTCCAGGAGCCCTAGTGCCCTACCCCATCCTCCTTCAGACCCAGGAGTCCAGGTCCCCAGCCCCCTCCTCCCTCAGCCCTGGGAATCAAGACCCCAGCCCCTCCTCCCTCAGACCCAGGAGTCAGGCCCCTTTTCATGACCTTAGTGTTGAGCCCCCCAGCCCCTCTTCCTTCAGGGTCCAGGGCCCCCACCCTTTCCCCATCAGCACCCAGAGGTCCACAGGCCCGGGCATCTGACTAACCTCCCTCCTCCCCCGCCCCCAACAGAGACCTACCCATCGGGGCTCCGGTGCACAGATGTCAGACTCATCTCCTCCCAGGAATGCAAGAAGTTTTACAAGGACCTGCTGGGAAGTTCCATGCTGTGTGCTGGCATTCCCAACTCCAAGACCAACGCCTGCAATGTGAGACCCCCCTCCCTCGCGGCCCTGGGGCCCTGGCTGCTTCCTCAGCACAGAGCCCAGTCTTCCCCTCCATCCAAAATCTGTAGGCCTGGCCGTGGTCTTGAGCATTCCCTCTCACCTCGAGGCCCAGTTTTCCTAGCGCTCTCTACACAGTTCTCTGCCTAGGTCAGAGTGGGAGCCCAGGGGGCTGGCGGGGCCCTGGGGTTGGGGCAGAAAGTTGACTGGGAGGGACTGGGGGTGGGAAAGAGGGCCCAGGACTAGGGGAAGGCAAGTGAGGCACTAGCTTCAAGGTGGGGGAGAGGGACACTCAGTAATCAAGATAAATCATATTCTTTTTTTTTTTTTATAGTTTTATTTATTTATTTTTTCCCCCAAAGCCGCAGTAGATAGTTGTATGTCATTGTTGCACATCCTTCTAGTTGCTGTATGCGGGACACGGCCTCAGCATGGCCGGAGAGGCTGTGTTGGTGCCCACCCGGGATCTGAACCCGGGCCGCCAGCAGCGGAGCGTGCGCACTTAACCGCTAAGCCACGGGGCCGGTCCAAGATAAATCATATTCTAATGCAAGACTGAAAAAAACAAAAATCCATCCAAAAAGTCCAAGATGAACAAAATATCAGAATTTTGAATAAAGAACGATCAGTCTTCCTGAATTTTCCATTTGCCTCAGGCTCCAGTATGGCTCAGTGCAGCACTGTGTTGACCCTGTCTTTATCTAAAATTGGGGTATCGTGTTTGGCATGGATTTTTTTTTTCATATTAAATTTGATTTTTTAAGGTACTGCATTACAATAGAATTTATCGCAGTTACTGAGATTTCATGCCGGAAGCTAATTTCTCACTCACCTCACCCGGGTCCGGGTCCAGGTCCTGGGCAAAGAACTATCTCTTGCCCTCTTTGCTCTCCTTCCTAATTTTTGTAGCCTCTCTGGCTCTGAATGTGGTCTTCCCACTTCCCTCTTTACATTTGATTTCATTTCATTGTTTTCCTCTGTGTTCTTTCTGTGTGTTGAGATAGATACACCTCCCCCTCCCTCCCCCTCCCCC